TTTAACACGCTCTGTTGCTGCAAAAAACGCCAAATTTCGCAGAAAATATAAGATCAAAGGCAGTTTCACCGGTCCACGTGGAGTAAAGCACGCCTATGCGTGGACATAGAAAATGAGAAAGCGTATATTTCAGAGCTCCGAACAAGTGCAGGTGGCTACTGAAAATTGAAACAGTTTAGCCAGTGCCGTGTAGCGGTGAATAAACGTGTTTTCTTTAGTCTGTCCGTATTTTTTCATAGATTTTATTAGTTTGTGTGTTTTTGACTTTTGAATACTCAGTTTACTTGTTGATTTAATTGTTGTGTTGATTGTTCTTGTGTGTCCTAAATATGGCTCTTTGGAGACCTTGGGAACATGCTCCGGCCACGAGGAGATGGTTGATGAACCTGTGCAGGCAGAATTCTTTCATAAAGATTTAGAGGAACAGACCCAAAGAGTAATCCTAAATATGTATGATTGTCTGAAAAACGAAAATCCAGATTCCTCGCCAAATCAAATTTTAAACAGAATTTGTATCCTGACAAAAATCAGTCGGTCTACAATTTATCGGGTTATAAAAAGGGGAGATGTAGTCAACCATTCCTTCCACAGAAAGCGCATAGGGCAAAAATTAAAAAGAATAGACGTGGGTTTTCAGGAAGATATTCGTCGTATAATATACGGATTTTATAAAGAAAATTTGGTGCCCACGTTGGAAATGATACGGGATAAATTAAAAGATTATCCTGAAGATTTTTATAATTACAAATGCTTAGACTCACTGCACTGTATTGTAAAACTGTGTGGTTTTCAATACAAAAAATTAGATAAAAGAATGGTGATTATGGAGTCGTCTCGAATCGTTGAATTGCCCCAAGAATTTTTGCACAAAGTTAAAATCTATAGAGAGCAGAAAAGAAATCTGATTTACCTGGATGAAACGTGGTATGGTACCCATGATGTTGTGCAGTACGGCTGGGTTGACGACAGCAACAAGTGTATTTTAAATGCACCATGCAACCGTGGAAAACGAATCATTATTCTCAATGCTGACAGTGAAAATGGATTCATACCTAATGCCTTGCTGTTATCTGCCAAAAATATCAAAGAATCATGTGCCGACTATCATGAGGACATGACCTCCGACTTATTTGAAAAGTGGATAGAGCAGCAGTTAATACCAAACATTTCCCCAAATTCAGTGATTATTATGGACAATGCGCCATACCATTCCCGACAGAAAAACAAAATTCCGAATACAGGCACAAAAAAACAATACATTATTGATTTTATGAAGGATAAGGGAATGGAAATACCACAAAAATCAACCAAAGCCATATTATTGGATCTTATTAAAAGACAAACATTTGAAAAAGAGTATGTTGTTGACAATCTGCTTCATCAAAATGGCCATGAAGTATTACGTCTACCTCCCTATTACTGCATTTTTAACCCGATTGAGTTGGTCTGGGCTGCTTTAAAAAAAAGTAAGAAAACATAATCAGACCCCTCAATTAAGTGAATCGCTAATGGCCACAATAAGAGATGCAGTATCTCATATTGCTGCCACAGACCTATGGAAGCAGTGTTCTAGGCATATTATTGGAAAAGAAAATGAATATTGTGTTTTGCCTCCTGTAAATCCCGTTGTAATTCCTCTACAAGATGACTCTAGCGACAGCTCCGAAGGCGAGGATGATATATAAATACCTATAATGTAAGTTTTTATATACCTTTTTATATACCTACCTGCTATGTAAATATTTGCCTATGTCAAACGTTGGAATTCTGTAATTTTTCCATTTCTTAACTTTCAGTCAACATAAATTAAACTCCCAATATAAGTATTTTTTATCCCAAATCAAAAAAATAAGAAGATAGTAAAATCCATTTATTGTGATATAAAAACATTATTATTATCGTTCTAAATAAATGACCGCACGCCTATGATACGTCATGAAATTACAAAGGACGCGCCGACCAAAGGTTTTTATGCTATTTCAAGTGACTTCAGATAAAGTATACTACATTCGCGGCGGTCAATTTGGCGGGATTTTTCAATTTAACGCGTATTTCAAAGCTTACTTGCGCGGGCCATTTAAAATTCTTGAGGTTAGGGTTGAGCATCATTGAGCTAGAGCAACCTCCAATGCGCAACTCTTCGGGACAACGGCAGGAATTAAGTTCGGACCAGAAGCTTTGTTGATGTCGAACGATAAAAGCACCTGTCTTACGGTCTTATTTAGGCTCCAGGCGTTTGCAGCTTAGTAGAGAGACAACTATAGTAATCTCGAAAATGAAGAAGTTATTATCGACAAATATTTCATTGTAATAAGCTATAACACTTTAGAAGCATCCCCTATTTTTCATAGCAAATTCCAGGAATTTATCACCTGTCACGAAATCTTTAGTCTCACTACAATAAATGTGATAATAATCTATAAACGCAATGAGATGATACGACTCCCCATCTCTATATTTTTAGACTCACCAGCACTAGCATATACAGGGTGTTTCAGTTTACTGTTGCATAACTTTAAGATTCGATAGACCTTTTAAAATTAATGCATAAAGTCTATATAAACATGGGTCGAAAAATGCGTGACTTCCGAAATACAGGGTGTTTAAATTTACTTGCTAAAATAGTTTTTTTTAAATATTTCGAACAATATTTGATGTATAACAGTGAAAATTGCTATATAAAGGTTTCTTGGTACGACAAAACGAACCATGGGCATAGTTTTACTGTAGCCGCTAGAGGGCGCTCTCTACTGTACCTGTAGTGTATTAAAATGACCGAATCTTTTTTCTTAGTGCAATTTTTTGCTTTTTGAATGAAAAAACTGATACTTCACATTTTTCAACATAAAAAAGCTCTCTTGTGAATTTTCGTTATAGATAGCCGTTTTTGAGATATTTCGATTTCTAAGGTTCAATGCATTTTTAATTATGTATGATAAAATAACGTTAAAAAGTCAGTATCTCGATAATTTTTAGAAGTAGGCTGTGCCTGCAAATATTTTTGAAATTGAAAGCAGAATAAGGTTAAACGTCAATTAGTTGACAGTTAGTTTTGTTGTCTGTTGAAACCTGAAACGTTTTTTTGCAATTGTGAATGCACGAAATTTAGTTTCTTTTACCTGTTTTTTTGTAAGTTTTATAAAAATGCCATTTTTATTCTCCAATCAAGAGTTAGCGGATATTCATTTTGTGTATGGCTTTGTAAATGGAAATGCAGTAGAAGCAGCCAGAGAATACGCACGAAGATCTCCAAACAGATGACATCCAACTCGCTCAGTATTTGTAAGAGTGCATCGCCAAATAATTAAAATGGTTTTGGAAATCTCCAAAGGGGTCAAAACATAAATGTTCGTCAGCGCAGATTTACCCGTATGATTCTGCGTGAGTTTGATAGAGATCCGACCGCAAGTGTTAGGAGAGTTTCTGGTGCCCTGGGAATTTCAGCAAGCCATGTTCACCATGTTCTTAGAAATGACCATAGACGTCCTTACCATTTGCAACCTGTGCAAGGACTTCAGCCAGGGGACGGAGAACGAAGAATCACATTTTGTCAGTGGATTCTTGATAGAACTGATAATAATAGGGAGTTTTTAAGTAACGTTTTATGGACCGATGAGTCATGCTTCACTAGACGTGGAGTGGTAAATTTTCATAATCAACATATTTGGTCGCATGAAAATCCGCATGCAGTTCGGGAAAGAAATTTTCAGCATGAATTTAGTGTGAACGTGTGGATTGGTATCTACCGTAATCGACTATTTGGACCCTACATTTTGCCTGCAACGTTAAATGTTGCGACCTTCTTGGAATTTTTATAGGCTGAACATGCAAATATGTGGGATGATGTTATGTTAGACTTAAGAAGATTGGCCTGGTTCCAGCTTGATGGTTGTCTAGCTCATTATTCGAGAATAGTTAGAAACTGGCTGGACGAAAATTATCCAGAAAGATCGGCCGTGGAGGACCAGTCGCCTGGCCTCCACGATCCGTTGACCTAAATCCATTAGATTTTTTTGCGTGGGGATTTCTAAAAGAAAAAGTGTACCAGACTCCCTTAATCACAAGAGATATGCTAATAGACAGAATCAGGAATGCATGTGATGAAATAAGGCCTTGTTTGAATAATGCTATACCATGTTCGATCATTCATAGATGTGAATTATGTATTGAACAATTGGGTTTACATTTCGAGCAACTACTTTAGATTTTGTATGTTTGTCCTAACTATCCAATAGCATTTTAGTTGTAAATAATTAATTTAATTTGTTAAAACTAATATTGGAAAATTAAACAAATTAATATTCTGTTTTTTTGTGTTTATTTGGAGTTAGGAATTATTGCTGTGTTTAAAAACACAATCTAAACGATCATCTTAATTACTTGTAATGCACAAATTGAAAATGTAAAAAAAATATTATTTTCCCATAAATAATAAAAAATGCATCGAACCTTAAAAATCGAAATATCTCAAAAACGGCTAACTATAACGAAAACTAACAGGAGAGCTTTTTTATGTTTTAAAGTGCGAAGAATCAGTTTTTTTATTCAAAAAGCAAAAAATTGCACTAAGAAAAAATTTTCGGTCATTTTAATACACTACAGTACAGTAGAGCGCGCCCTCTAGCGGCTACAGTAAAACTATGCTCATGGTTCGTTTTGTCGTACCAAAAAAACCCTTGTATACCAATTCTCACTGTTATACATCAAATATTGTTCGAAATATTTAAAAAAACTATTTTATCTATCTATCGAATCTTAAAGTTATGCAACAATAAACTGAAACACCCTATGACTAACATAGTGGTGAAAACGGTACGGTAAGATCGTCACACAAGCATCAATTTTGAGATGTTCAGTATTGCAATGTTCTGAGCCTATTTTTAATTCGAGTTCTTTGGCTAATTTCGACAGAAGATATTTTCCAGCTAAGCACACTAGCAGTTAGTCTAAAAGATGCAGTATTGAAAAAATATATATCTGAATAACATTTCATTTTTCAGCTGAATACGACTTGATCAACAGGATAAGAAAAATCGCAGAAAGAAATCAAATATGGAGGTCATATATCGGTATGGGATACCACAATTGTTGTGTCCCACATACCATCATGAGGAATATATTTGAAAATCCTGGATGGACCACTCAGTATACGCCGTATCAACCTGAGGTAAATCAATACTGTTTATGTAGAGCTTCTGCTCTTATATGTATAGTGAAACTCATATATTGTTCAAGTTAAATGTGCTTTGATCCGAACCACCTGCAGCTGAAACGCGCGTTAATAATAATACTGTTTATTCGTCATATAAATTATCAGAGACAATTTATATGACTTTTCGACATCGACGTTAAATAATTTGATTAAAAAATGAATTCTGTTTGTATAAAAGCAAATAATAGACAACCACATTACATAGAAATGGTTTAAAAATTAATTAAAACCAAACACTGTTAAAATTTCATTGATTGACGAAAATGCTTGCTTTGCAAAATAGGTATACAGATTTTTTTAAAGGTATTGAAGCCGAATTTATTTAAGCGCGTAGATTTTTGTTATGGCACTGAATACCCATGTAAATGTGACGGATGTTTTAGCAACTCCATATTGATGTATCATGTTATTCTTTGTATATTGTTATTCTTGTTCTTTCATGTTCATTATTACGTACAGGCAAGGCACAGTCAAAATACCATACTGAAAAAATAATGGCTTGCAGCGTGCTATTCGACTTGCATCTGCCATAGATCGAATGATCTTTTTAATTTTTATCAAATCACGTCAAGCAATTTTTGTCTTTTAAGTTTTGCATATGGAAATAAAACAACACGGTAGGTAGTTTTAAATGACATTATTGTTTTTCGAAGTATTCTCCACGAAGATTAATACACATCTGCATGCGCTCGAACTAATTTTCTAAGCGCTTATTTCACTCATTTGCTGGCAGATCCAAAACGGCATTTTTGAATGCGTCAACTGCTTCTTCTGGTGACTGGGAACTTTGACCACGCAGTCTGTTTTTAATTTTCAGGAAAGTAAATAAATCGTTAGGACTTAGATCGGGACTATATGGAGGATGGTCCAATGATTCCACGTTTTCTTCCGTTAAATACTGCCTTGTGTTTTGGGCTGTGTGCGAGCTTGCATTGTCTTGGTGGAGGATGATTTTTCTTTCGGGGTTGATTTTTCGAAGCTCGGTGATGACTTTTGGCAAACAAATGGTGGTATACCAATCCGCAGTAACAGTTCTTTGCTCATTAAGAGGAATTGTTGCAATATGACCCGCTTTTGACACAAATATCGCGACCATCTTTTTCGAAACACTTCGAGAACGGATGACTTTTGTTGGCTTTTCTTCACCTTGGATCACCCAAACAGCCGACTGTCGTTTATTTTCTGGTTCATAACAGTAAATTCTCGATTCATCATCACTAACAATGCTGTACACATTTTTTGAGTTTCCGGAATTGAAACGGTCAAGCGTTTTTTGACACCACTTAACCCTGGCTGCTTTCTGCTCTTCAGTCAACAGGTGGGTTATCCAACGAGAAACTAATTTTCTTACTCCTAATTCTTCATGTAAATTTTTTTGAATTGAGGTCTTTGAGATCTTCAAGGACGCCTCAATCTCGCGATATGTCACATGTCTATCTTCAATGATGAGTTTCCGCACAGCATCGACGTTTTCCTGGGTGACTGCCGTTTTTGGTGCACCCACCTTGGGATCGTCGCTAAGACTCACCCGTCCACGTTTGAATTCTCCATACCAACGGGAAATTGTCGACTGATGTGGCACTTCGTTGCCGAAAACAGACAGTAACTCGGCGAGGCATACTTGTTGCGATAATTGTCTCTGAAAGTTGTAATAAATTATGGCGCGAAAATGTTCTCGGTTGAGTTCCATTTTTCTAATGACTTGGTGACACTTGAAAATTCACTGTACTGAGAACACTGCACGTATTGTTGTGAAACTTTGAATTTAAGTTTACTAAAGAGTGAGGTTAAAGCATCCCACAAACCGGCGCGAAATGTTCGCTTTGGCTGCGAAAATTTCGCGGCGATGAATTCGCGATCAGATTAAAACGCGGCGGTTTACGGACAGGCTCAGATTTGTGCGAAGCGAATGCGATTGTTCCAGCGTTTTTATCGCGGCGTATTTCAGTTCGCCTTTGACCGCGTTTTTGACGCCGTTCTTCAAAAATTCGCAATGGCAAAAACGGAATTATTGATAGAAATAGTGAAAAAGTATCCTTGTGTGTATGATTTGTCGAACGATGAATACAGGAATGTGAGAAAGAAAGACAAGATTGGATGGAAATAGGAAAAGAATGAAATACAAATGGTATGTATCTAATATTTTTTATTAACTTGTTAAATAATTTACAGTCTACACAAATGTGAAAACGAACATTCTATATATTGGGCATAGACATATCAGAATTAAAATAATTTACGAATTTGTCACGAGTAGAAAATGCTAGCCTTGCTGCCCGCCGAGGATCATTTGCTATATCAGTAAAAGCTCCAAGCACGGGTTCTGGGGGATCTAAGAATTGAAAATATTTGTCATCGCCACTTTTACTTCTTAAAAAATTGTGTAAAACAGATGCCGTACGTACAATAAGAATAGTAGTATCTACTTTAGTTTCTAATGGCCTGTAAAATATTCGCCATTTTTGAGACAAAATACCATACGCATTTTCCACGACCCTTCTAGCTCGACAAAGTCTTACATTGTATTTCTCTTTTCTGACGTCTGTTAAAGTCTGCTTATAAGGAAATGGTCTCATAAGGTATGGTTTTAAAGCAAATGCTTCATCACCAATTAAGACGTACGAGCAGATTTCATTTTGCCCAGGGAGAAATCTAGGTGCAGGGACACTCATTAAATTTTGTTCAAATCGTTTTCCCATGTTTGTGGTTTCGAAAATACCCCCATCACTATTTTTTCCGAAACCACCAATATCAACACATATATATTTATAGTCCGGGCCAACAATGGCCATAAGTACTATTGAATATTTATGTAAATAGCACCAGTAATTGGAGCCACTGTTGTTAGGTCTCTTGATTGTTACATGTTTACCGTCCACGCTGCCAATGAAATTGGGAAATCCCCATCTATTTTCAAATTCTTCAGCACATTTTTTCCATATATTCTCTGTTGGTTCTGGTAAATATATATGCTCCATATGTCTGCATATCGCTTCACAGACTTCGGTTACGATTGCACTCACTGTTGTAAAGCCAACTCGAAAGCTATGCCCAATGGTATAGAAGGTGTCACCAGTGGCAAGGAATCTATAAAAAAAATCGTTTTTAGGCGATGAAGTAAAAAAAAGGTGGAAGAATATCAGAGACACATTTGCAAAATATATAAAATCTACCAAACCAAAGACCGGCCAAGCAGTGGGCAACATAAAAAAATGGCAGCGGGCTGACTACATGGAATTTTTCCGTCCTTTTTTGGCAGGGCTGGAAATGTAGAAACCGAAAATTTGGAAGACCGCGGCCATGGAGAAGATGAAAATGCTGATGTAGATGCAGAAGATGCACAGAACACCTCGGCAACACAGACAGCACCACCTTCTTCATTGAACACTACAGCAGTGACTACTCCAGGGCACACCTTTCCGCAGACTGCAACTACACCAAAATATAAAACGAGCAGAAAACGCTATGAACCACCATCTTCGTCTGTACAACAGCTCATTAATTATTTTGAAGGTAAAAAAACCTAAAAAAGAGAACGAGGCCATTGATTCACTCTTCTTGGCACATGCACAGACTGTGAATTGAAGAAATGTCTTCAGCGTCTACCCAGAATTCTGCAAATATGTATGATAGTAGTATGTCGTCCTTCCCAAGCGGCACTGGGTTTACCCCAATAATATACCCAACAGAGGAGGCAAATTCTGCCTCGAATTATTTAGCAACATTTAATCCTAGTGGCAACATGTAGTCCAATTATTACAATAAAATATTTATTTCACGATCCCTGAAGTTTTCGTATTCGATAAGCCTACTAATTTTAATACATATAATTTTTTTACTTGAGTGTAATAGCAAGTCGTTCTTCTGGCGAAATAGCTTCACGATAATTTGTGTCAGATTTTCGTATTTCATCTTTCACCAAGTTCAATATTTCATCTAAACACTCTGGAGTCATTCTAAAATATACGTAAAAGCGCTGTTCATCCAGCCGAAGTTGTGGCATCAAGGTATGGTATTCCCCAAATTTATTTCGTTCCAAGTTAATATCATGTACCCACTTCCTTCGTTTCCTAAACAAAATTGAAAATATTTGTTTTATGTACTTCGTTAAGCTTAATACATACCCAACTATCAAATGGCGTTAAATAAACATAACTTACCGTGCATTTTGTTCCTCTTCTAAAGCAAGAAATAGAAGTGTCTCCTCTTCTTCTGAAGACGAGCTCATTGCAAAAGGCAAAAATAAAATGTACGCAACCTGTCGAAACCTTCACGTTCGCGGAGCGTATAAGACGCTTTGGTATGAATAAACAGGCGAAACAGATTGCGAATTTCGCTCTGAATTTCGTTGCGAATACTTCGCCGCGATTATTTCGCGCCGGTTTGTGGGATGCTTAAGATTCAGTACTGACGTTCGATCCGCGTGGCCTACTATGTTTCTATATGCAAAACTTAACAAGACATGCCTCGTATACTAGCTTTAACTGTCACCTTCGCTATGGCATTTTAAGCTGGGGATGCAGCTCATCGATAGAGAGAGTTTTCTTCTCCAGAAATATGTTACTAGTATCATTGCAAATCTTAATTGGAGTCTATTTTGCAGGGATTATTTTCGATCTTTAATAGTTTTAACAATAGCTTGTATTTACATTCTTGAATTATCAATATTTGTGTATAAAAATAAAATGAACTCTTCAATAACAAAGAAGAACACTATTATCAAACTCGATCTAAGGATCTGATGACAGATGAACAGACAAGTGTTTTTATAGTTCTTTGCATGTAACACTGTTTTTTAATCTGTATTGTATTGTTTTTGACTTTTGACTTGTTATTAACAATGAAATAAATATATTATTATTAAAGATATTGTATCTCGAAGCTGTGTAATCATGAAAACTATAGTGCTCAGTTTTACGTTAATGTGGTTAACACGCTTTTCCTAGGTCATTGTACTGTCAACATCTACACCTTGGAACTCGGCATAATTAAAATGTTCAATAGATATTGCTTATCTCAGTATGCCAGAAGTTGACAAACATGTCTTGTGAATGCTGTTAGATGATTGAATGAAAGAATTAGCCAAGAACCAACGTGCATTCAGAGCTTTAACAAATAATATATGATTAATATTTTTAGGTATCTCAAGGTAGACTAGAAGGCCTACTAAACTACCAAACGTTGGTATCTGATCTAACAGGCTTAGATGTGGCGAACGCGTCCCTATTAGACGAAGGTACCGCTGCTGCAGAAGCAATGTCATTGTGTTACAGACACAATAAGAGGAACAAGCTACTGGTTTCGAACATGTTGCATCCTCAGACCATTTCAGTCGTTGAAACCAGGTACATGATAATTCAACTGCGATTTATCCGTTTTTTTTTCGATTTAGCGTAATCAAAAAAAATATAGCTAATCGTGAGTGAGGTGGCTACGTTACTATAGGGTGCGATAGCATTACTTTCAAACTCTAATAAAACGCATTGTTTGAATCAGAACAATTTTATTTCTTGTTATAGCGTAGACACATGCCTAAAGCTTTGCCTTACATAGTTTTGAAGATCAAGTCAGATAAGTGACATCCCCCATTCTTCGAGTAAGCCGATTTCTGGCATTTGTTATATCTCTTGCCAGCGTAGCAGGTGCTATTTTGTCAATTTTTCCCTGGATGTTGGACTTCAAACCTTGTAGGGCTCATGGACGGTCCACATAAAAACGGCATTTCAAAAAACCCATAGAAAAAAATCGCAAGAGGACAAATCGGGAAAGCTGATGCTTTTGAAGTGTGTAACATGTTGACATACCAGCCCGAATCTTCCTGCTGATATTCGTCGGAAAATTTCTGAAAAGAGGGCTGCGATTAAGCAAGCAAAAAGGTCTTGTCATCCTGATGACATTCGTAGAGCGATGAATCTCGTCCATGAAGTGAGAAATGCACTCCATGAATTCCGCAATGAGCGGTGGAGCGGTTTTCTGGCGTGCTCTCCAAACTTTAAGTTGCCATCTAACACGACTCCCAGGTACGTGAGGTGTCTCTTTGTCACTATCTTCGTGCCAAGGAATTGGAAATTCACCGAGCTCTTATTGCGGGATCCCTTCAGTATCACGGCTTCCGTCTTCTGTGGGGCAAGTCGCAACTTGTTTGCTGCCATCCACTCGCTGATTCTTGCCAACGCTTCGTTCGTGATGATTTCCAGCTCCTTGGAATAGTTCGCCTCCGCTATGATCGCCAGATCGTCAGCGTACGCAATGCATTTTATTCCCTGTGGAAATGCAAGACCCAGAACTCCATCATAAAGAACATTCCACAGAAGAGGACTGAGCCTTGAGGAACTCCCGCGCAGATGTCCCTCGTTTCTCTCTTCGTTAGGAGAAGCTTTCTGTCCTGGAAGCAGTTCTCCACCAAGTTTATCAGGTATGCTGAAATTTCCCTACGTCGGAGTTCCTTAATAATTAGGCTCCAAGTAGCCGAGTTAAAGGCATTTTCTACGTCAACAGTGATCAGTACACACCACTTGCTTTCCGTCTCCGATACATTATCCGCGACTGCTTTAATTGCCTGGACGGTTGATCTGCCCTTCCTAAATCCATATTGCTCGTTTGACAGGTCAACTTTCGATTTGAGCTCCTCTTCGATTCTAATTTTAATTAGTCTTTCGAAGAACTTTCCCACTACGCTCAGCATACAGATAGGTCTGTGCGAGGAAGGTAGTTTCACGGGTTTTCCCATCCATATAAGAGTCACTGAGGCAATCTTTCAGATCTTGGGGAAGTCTTGCGAACTCAGTAGCTGGTTCAGCACGCCTAGTATCGTCTCCGGCAATACCTCCAACGCTATCTTCAGTGCCTCCGGTGGTATACCGTCAGGTCCAGGAGCCTTTCCAATCTTGATTTCCAATGCTGCCTCTTGTATCTCCTCCAGGGTAAACGGTGCAATACCTTCGGCGGTTTTCTGTCCCTTCAGCCAGGTATCGGTTGACTTGGGGAAGAGGTGATCGATTATTTCTGCTTTTTTCGCTGCAGATAGGTCGAAAGGGAGAGTATAACCCTTTATTTGCTTTATAACAATATGGTAAGCAGAGCCCCAAACGTTGTCCTCAAGTTCTTCACACAGCTATGAGCATAGTACTGAGCTACAGGCAGTTAGACTGGTGGAGCATGTAACCAGGGGGTTCACCCTGAACAAAAGTAGTGGTATCTTGCTGTTAGATGTATCAAAGGCATTTGACAAGGTGTGGCACATGGGCCTCTTGTATAAGCTCATCCAAAAGGGTTTTCCATTTTGGCTAGTAAAACTGTTGAAATCTTTTCTAGAAGGAAGGAAGTTTCGGATCAAAATTAACAATGTGTTGTCAACAACACGACCGGTGCTCCTCAGGGTTCGGTGTTAGGACCAATCCTTTATTAACTTTATATACATGATGTCCCTTGCCCCAGCAACTGTGAAGTCTATATCTAATGTATTCTGACGACACTGCATTGCTAGCCCAGTCTGGTTCGCGTAACCTGGTTCAGAGTACGGTGGAGGAAGTATTGGAGTGGGCGGATCGGTGGTTGATCAAAATTATATATTACTACTTCGAAAACGCAGACAATCTATTATACTAAAAAATGTTGCGGTGGCCCCTTCAGAGATATCAGTGAACGGAGCTCGTATACCATAGGAGCAATCTGTCAGGTATCTTGGAGTCATCATTGTCAAGGGGTTTACCTGGCAGAAACATACTGATATTTTGAAAACAAAATTCCAAATTACCTTTCGGCAGCTTTATCCTGTGTTGTACAGAAATTCAAAATTAAGTTTGATCAACAAGATTTGGTTGTATAAAATGGTCATAAGACCCTACGCACAATCACTAACGCCCCTTGGTACGTGTCAAATGAGACCATTCCTAGAGATCTTGATATTCCATATCTAAGTGATTATGTAAAACAACAGGCGCAGCGGCGTTATAATCAAGCGGAATCGCACAGCAACCCTCTGTTGCGTGATTCAGTAGACACTACACAGTCGAGCAAGTTTGCAAACATTCCTGTATGCAAAGGCCTTTGATGGAATTCTCGAAGATTGGTGTCATACCAGTAGCGCTGGCTTTGTTCGTTGACGGATACAAACAAATGTAAATGGGCTTCATCACTGAAAAAAAAACAGAAGCCTCCTCAGGGACGACTTTGAGAAGTCTCCTAAACAATTGCCATCTTGATGGGATGGAAATGAAGATCATCATGCAAAATTCTCCCCTTAGAACGATCGGAAAGTCGCATGTTTGCGTGCATAACGCCATGATGCGATTAGTGGGCCAATGCACGATGACGACTGAACTGTGTCGGGACAAGACTCATGGGCCTGAATGGTGACTGAATAGCGCCGCACCCTGTATATTGTCTTTCGGACTAGATCGTATTGTTTAGTAAAATCTACAAATTGACAAACTGATTTTTACAATTTCTTTATACAAGTACCTTTGACGTGTGAGCAGTGAAAAATAATCATATATTTCTCTACGCCCCATCAGCTTTAATTCGCATTGTGGCAACTGGTCCAAAGGTAGTAGTTATTTTACGTTGCGATTTCTATTTTCAGGTGTAGATCACTAGGATTAACAGTGGAAACCATCGATGTATTTGAAGCTGACTTCTCGAATAGAGACGTAGCTGGAATTTTATTCCAGTATCCAGATACGGAAGGAAATATCCATGATTTCAGTGAGGTGGCTGATAAAGCTCATGAACATGGTAAGCGAACTGTTAATTCTACCATGATACGCTGTAACACTTTTGGACTTATTTGGGTAGGCTCAACCTACAAGTCCTGGAATAGAGATATAGAGATTTACGTTAAGGTTTTAACATCCAAATCCTTTCTCAGGAACCTTAGTATGTTGTGCCACAGACTTACTAAGTTTGACGTTGCTCCGACCACCTAGTGAATTTGGTGCAGACATAGCAATAGGCACATCACAACGTCTAGGTGTACCTTTAGGATACGGAGGACCACACGCAGGCTTCTTCGCTTGTACTCAAAATTTGGTGAGGCTGATGCCCGGCAGGATGATTGGAGTAACAAGAGATGCTTCGGGTAAGTGCATATTTTGAGAAGATTTTCGAAGAAATCTTATTAACCCGGTGACGTTGTAGGAAGGGATGCATACAGATTGGCGTTGCAGACTAGAGAACAACATATCAGAAGAGATAAAGCTACAAGCAACATTTGCACTGCACAAGCTCTATTGGCAAACATGTCTGCTATGTTCGCTGTGTACCATGGCCCCCAGGGTTTGAAAGATATCGCTACTAAAATTCACAATACTACGTTGGTAAGATTTCTATCTCTCCAAGCAAAGCTCGGAATTTTAGTTACTGCTTTGATTTGGATAAGCACTCTAGTTTTAGAAAGTAAAATCGATTACTAACATCTAATTCAGAAACAATTCAAGGCTAAGGCTAATCTTCAACTAAATTGACGAGGTCTGTAAATTAAGTGATGGGACTGATTTTTTATTTTTTTTACTCAAATATACTAAGTGACATACATCCGAACACCCAGTTTAAATGGTTTTATTTTAATAAAAGTTGGTGAATGTATTTATCTTACTGTAAATAACAAGTGAAAAAAATTTCAGCCTTATCAGTTGCACATTCCGGTTTTTATACTGCTTTTTTTAATTCACTAACGCTCTAAAAATGAATATTTCAGCCGTAGTAAAGAATCAACGTTGGCGGATTTTGGTTTTTGACATCCTTTACGATCGGTTACGATGCCTGATAGGGGCCGTATAGTGGGACTTCGGGAAGCTGGACTTTCTTTTCGGGCAATTGCAGTTAGAGTGCAAAGAAGTGTAGACACTGTGGTTAGGTGTTGTCAGGCATGGCTTCGAGAAGGCCGTACGCAAAGAGCAAGGGGCACTGGACGCCGCCGTAGAACAACAGACCGTGAAGATCGCCGCCTAAGATTATTGGCCTTAAGGGACCGTTTCTCCACTACCAGGTCCATTGCAAATGAATGGTTTGCAGAACACGGAAGACCTATAGGCATGCTTCTGATCAGGTGGTCAATGTCTTCCTGTGGTATCTCATTCCAGGCAACCACCAACTCCTCTCGAAGTGCTTCTAGAGTCTGAGGAGGACGTTGCAAATTGAGCAATCTCCTACTCATCATATCCCGCACGTGCTCAATTGGGGATAAGTCGGGAGATCTTGGTGGCCATGGTAACAATGTGACATCATTATGTTGAAAGAAATCTATTGTGACTCTTGCAACATGTGGTCGGGCATTATCTTGTTGGAAAGTTGGATCTGCCGGGGTGTCAAGATAGGGTAAAAGATGGGGTTCTAGAACTTCGTGGATATAACGCTGCGCGTTCATGTTACCTGCGATGAAGATTAAAGGTGACCTGGAACCATAAGCTATAGCACCCCAAACCATAACTCCAACAGTGTGATGAACATGTCTTTCAACAAAAAACTGTGGATTCCTCCTTTCACCACGTCGCCTTCTAACCCTGGCACGACCATCGTGCATGCCTAAACAAAATCGAGACTCGTCACTAAAGACAATACTGTTCCATTCCTGATCCCAGAGTGACCGTTGTCTGCACCACTCAAGGCGATTACGTCGGTGTTCTCGATTTAAAGAGAGGACCGAGTGTGGCCGGTATGAAAACAAGCCAAAACTTCTCATTCGTCGGTAAACACTTCGCATGCCAACAGGTCTTCCGTGTTCTGCAAACCATTCATTTGCTATGGACCTGGTAGTGTAGAAAGGCCAATAATCTTAGGCGGCGATCTTCACGGTCTGTTGTTCTACGGCGGCATCCAGCGCCCCTTGCTCTTTGCGTACGGCCTTCTCGAAGCCATGCCTGACAACACCTAACCACAGTCCCACTATACGGCCCCTATCAAACTCACTAAGTTGACGAAATCGTACAGGTCTCCGTACTCTAGGCATCGTAACCGATCGTAAAGGATGTCAAGAACCAAAATCCGCCAACGTTGATTCTTTACTGCGGCTGAAATATTCATTTTTAGAGCGTTAGTGAATTAAAAAAAAGCAGTATAAAAACCGGAATGTCCAACTGATAAGGCTGAAAATTTTTTCACTTGTTATTTACAGTAAGATAAATACATTCATTATTAAATTTTATTAAAATAAAACCATTTAAACTGGGTGTTCGGATTTATATGTCACTTAGTATATGTTCTTGATCTGGTCGACGGTGATATGAGTCAAATTTAACTCTTATCCGATCATTCTGACTCTCTTCCGATGGTCTGAATCCACAAGATCCCGGATTCTGCCGATATTTTCATCGGTTCTTGAAGATGCTTGTAGTTCATCTTCAATCGCCTCCCGCCCTTCAGAAAGTGCCTTAAGCCATCGAAAAACCTGGGATCTTGACTAAACATTATTTCCGTAGGCCTTTTGAAGCTTAGCAAAAGTCTGAAGCAAAACCTGATAGCGCACCGTTGCTTGAAATTGATGTCACCCATTTTTAGAACCCAATAGAAAAAATTGTACCACAAAAAAAAATCGCGACGGACAACCAAATGACTCGAGCGAGTTCAAACTTGTATTGAAGGCAGAGCACATGTTTTCTTGTCTCCCTTTCAAGCCCGGCGCCTCCGGTGTTGCCAGATCGAACGCTACGTTGCCACTCTCATCACTTGATCTACAGACCACGTAGTTGACGATGCGGTATCCGATTTTATCACGGATAATTTTTTGGATCCAGAAACATAGCATTAAGTTGGCTACCTTCAGATAAAATACCTTAAACAATGAAACCATTTATTCTACAATCTAATAAACATTCATTCTGATGGACATAGCAGGTTCTTCTATTGGAGTTCTTCATTCTATAGTTTCTATAATAGATGCCATTCGTGGGGTAGTCTGACCAGAACGTTTCTTTTAGGTATTGCAACATGGTTTGGAGCACGATAATAATAAGGTAACCAATCAGCATTTCTTTGACACTTTGAGAGTGGAACCTAGACTGCCAATTAGTGAAATCAAAGCTAGAGCACAAGAAAAACAGATCAATCTTAGGTATTTTGACGATGGAGCTGTGGGTGAGTGAGATACGCTTAATTTTTCAAGTCAATACAGAATTTTGTTCATACAAGGCACGGTAGCATAACTTCCTTTTTTAAAATGGCTGCCAAGAGTCATGACAAACACCAAAAATCGGTTCACTCAGTGTTTAAAGAATGGAGGACGTGACCTACCTGATCTAATCTTCAAAGCTATGTAAAACAAAACTTTAGACATGCGCCTATTGATACAGTGGGTTTCATTAAGTTTTGAAAAAGGAAGTTTTGTTGTCGCACTCTGTACATTTCCGAAAAAATCTGTTTTAAAAACGGTTGACTAAAAATTGGAACCAGTCGATTTGTGGAGGTTTTATGTGAGCACTACGAGTTTATTTTGACCAAGGTTATCATTTGGTTGAACTAAGTTATAGATATTGTCAAGTTAGATAAACACTCGTCTCAAGTGCCATGAATTTAATTTTTCAGGTGTGGCTCTAGATGAGACAGTGAACTTTGAGGACATCAACGATCTTTTCTACGTATTTGATTGTCCACATAGGGTAGAAAACTTAAAAGATCATCCTAGTGTACGAGAGAAAGCTGTATATCGCAGCGAGTTCAAAAGGACGTCCGCTTTTCTGACACACCCTGTATTCAATTCACACCATTCTGAGACGAGGATAGTCAGATATATGAAGGTTTTGGAGAATAAAGATGTTAGTTTGGTTCATAGGTAAGACTAACACATATTTTACAAAACAATGATGTCAAGCAAATTATCTCATGAATTTATATACCTTTATTTTCATATTTTTTATTTATAAAACATAAAGCAAGCCGTTTATATTTGAGCCCCTTTAAATGTCTTTGTACTCTGCCCAAAAAATGTCAAAAGCTTGCCAAACTTACAAAAACCTTTGGAACCGCTTTTTTATTTATAATATCGCCGCAACTATGGTCTTCAAAAATGTAGCATTACCTAGTGTAGGGTGACCTCACATCATATCTATTTCTCTCCAAACTCCATCAAAATCAATTCTGAGATTATGCGCTTGGAAAAATTGCAGTAGGTAGACCGATATAGTCAGACCGACGGAAATAATTTATCTGACTTTTATAATGTGAATAATTACACCCTAAAAACAACTAAACAAAACACGCTTTTAAAGTAAATCGAACTAAAAGGTAGAAAATAATTCGCAAGCATAAATATGAGAATTTGCATTTCTGCAATAGAAAGATCAATATAAAGATTAAGTTGTGAACACAAAAAAAATTATATTAAAGAAGCTTCATATGAAATGTTAAAGCTATTGCTATTTACAAAATTGGAGTTAATTTCAAAATATAGTTAATTGCACCCCACGCTATTTTACTATAATTGAATTTTTTGTTAATATCTTAATTTTTATATCGATCTTATTTCATATTAATGTCATACTTGATTGTTGAACTTTCTATTGCAGTAACACAAACTCTATACTTGAAAATTATTTTCTTTTAAAGTATTTATAATCAAGAGCCTCGATTATATATTATAATTGACTATAAATCTAAACTTTCTCCCAAATATTTCAAATTTCGGAATTTCCAAACAATTTTCAAAATTTCCATTTTTTTTAAATGTCCAAATCTCCAAATTGTTTTACAAATTTCCGAATTTGCCAATTACAGGCGTCCCTCGTTTTACGCGGGGTAACGTTCTTTGAAAACACCGCGTAAAAAGAAATATCGAAAAAAAAACATTTTATTACATAAACTTTTGTTAAATACATAATATAAATAGGTATGTTTGTACATATTATGTATGAGAACATTAAACGTTAATTTTTTAACAAAAATATTAATTTTTAGAAAAATAAGACGTCATTTTTGACTGTTTAGCTTCGTTGCGTAAATTCTTCTCAACTTCCTTGTATGGTGCCAATGCTGCAAAAACCTCTCGTTTAGTTTTTAAACTTCTTTCCATTGTAGGATCTTCCCTGATTAACAGCTCGGTGAGATCGTGTGCCATGGTAAAACATTTATTAAGCGTTTTCAACGTCAACTCCTTTCGTGCCGGGACTACTTCATCATCTTCACCTTTTTCTTGAGCTTCATAATTGTTCTCCGTCAGTTCTATGAGTTCTCTTTCAGTGAGTTCAACATTATGCGATTCAAATAGCTGATTTATATCGTCCTCATTCATATCATCGAATCCCTCTCCAGGTAATGAATTTCCTAAATCAGCAATTTCTTTGATTTCGTCTCTGATATCAGGCACCTTCGCATGAGACTTCACAATTTCTGGCCATAAGTTTTTCCAGCAGCCATTTAATGTGGATTTTTTAAGTTCACCAATCGATTCTTTAATATTATGTAGGCAATCTGCAATTGTGTAATCCTTCCAGCATTGGCTTACTGTTTTTGTAGGGTCGCGTTCCAAGTTTTCTAACAGCATTTTAAACGTGCGTCGCGTGTAATAAGCTTTGTAGATGGCAATGATTCCCTGATCAAGAGGCTGTAGGATTGATGTGGTGTTTGGTGGAAGAAATTCTAGTCGAACATTGGGATTTATTTGCTGTAAACGGCCGGCTGGGTGACCAGGGGCATTATCTATGAGTAATAACACCTTAAATTCAAAATTTTTTGACGTCAAATAACGTTTAACCTCTGGTATAAAACAGTTCTCAAACCAGTCTAAGAAAATGTCTCCCGTTACCCGTGCATGACCATTGGCACGCCAAAACACAGGCAATTTTTTTTATCTTTGTTTTTTAAAGCACGGGGATTCAATGACTTGTACACTAATAAAGGCTTAATCATACAATCTCCAGAAGCATTTGAACAAAGCAAAAGTGTGAGACGATCCTTTGCTACTTTAAAGCCCTGTGCGGTCTTATCCTCTTTTAATAAAAATGTACGGTTTGGCATCTTTTTCCAAAACAAGCCAGTTTCGTCCGCGTTAAAAACCTGCTCAGGTTTAAAACCTTCTTCTTCAATGATTTTTAAAAGTTGCCCAGGATATTCTCTTGCTGCATTAACATCTGCTGAAGCTGCTTCCCCTTGCAGTTTAAGATTATGTAGGCTATGACGACTTTTAAATCTTTCAAACCATCCTTTACTATACTATAACTATCTAAAACTGTAATGACTCATCGATGTTCACGTGAACATCACTTAACTACCAGTAGTCGGCTGTTCATAGGCGGGGTATGAATGTTTAACATGGGTGAACTAGATTTGTCACATGATTAATAAAGCGTGGTTTGAAACATATTGTGAGTCAAAAATTTGGGAATTACCTTTATTCATCGTCGCTTCCACTCACATCTGACAGTAATAAACTGTCGCTATCGCTTTCCTCGTTGAAATTGACTATAACTGGCTCTATGATAGTGTCGATGTGGTGGTCAAGCTGCCACATTTTTGTTTCTTCCTTCACAACATGACGGATAGCATTCTGCCAAGCTTCGGGCGTTACTAGCTGTATGGAAGTCTCAAGTAAAACCTTAACGTCTGGTAATTTGAAGTTTGTGTTATGGCGCGCAATATAACCCTTCACTTGAGCCCAGATGAGCTCTATTGGGTTCAGTTCACAGTGGTAGGGCGGTAACCGCAGCACAGTGACACCACATTGACGGGCCATCTCATCAGTCACGTAACTAATGTTCGCAGGTTTGTGCTGTTTAATTTTTTCATACAATTCCGCTTTCACACATGAATCGTCAAACGGGATTCCTTTTTCGCGCAACCATTGCTTCATGTCACTTTTTCGAGATCCCATAGTCGGTACACGTTCGGCTCGACGACTATGGTAGGAAGCATTATCCATGACGTTCACAGAGTTCTAAAAAGCCACTATCGCTACCAATATGAGTTACGATCAATCTTTGACCTTTCCCTGACGGTCCACGAAGACCTGTTGACAAACCTTCAATGCTTGCTTGTCGGTTACTCACTACGTTTTTGTCTATCCAGGTTTTTTTAACCGTGTGACCTGCATTTACCCATGTCTCGTCCAAATAATAGATTTTTCTGCTTTGTCGCCTATATTCAATCATTTCGCGTAGGTATTTTCGACGCCAGGCGACTATTTCAGGTCTCTCTATCAATACTGACTTCTGATTACGCGTTTCGTAACGAAAATTAATTTCGTGCAGGGATTTCCTCATTACCTCGACGCTCATTTGGGGTATAATTTCATTTTCCTTGATCGCTGCATGTACAGCCTTGAGGGTTGGTATCTCATTCCTAAAGAAGAATGAATATACGGTTCGCCTTAACGCCATTTTGCTATCGTCATCCAATTTAACGGCCTTTCGTCCCTTCAAATTAAACTTTGGATCAGTAGTAGCTCCAGTTTTCTTCTTTTCATGCACCACCCTGCGAATGGTCCACTCTGGAACGCCTGTCATACTTTCACAACGCGCGAGTGCATCTCTCTGCGACATAGTTCTGTTCAGATAATTGAACACGTTGAGCACGATTTCTTTCGCGTCCCTCTTCAGTGCTTTACGAAGCCGTCTACTTGTTCCCTGGCTTTCAGTACTTCCACTCGTGCCATTTGTACTCTCCATGGTTAAGTATAACCAAAACAGTAACCACAGAAACCACAACAATAACAATCACACAACAATTCTTATAAAAACACACAATATGCGATCTCTCAACGAAACACGTTCCAATGCGTTGCCGACGCCTATGAGTCTGCCGGTCGAGGCGCGACTTTGATTTCATTGGTCCTACCGGCGGAGAACAATCAGCCATTATTTCCATCTCTGTCTGTGCTGTTGACCACCGCAAAACCACAGAAACGACATATGTCGTACGCTATACGGCTGTACTGGAAGGAAGCCGGGATCGAGCTTTGATCACGTGTTGATCACGCGTATGAGTCATTACAGTTTTAAATAGTTGTAGTATAGCCAAAAATGTTTTTGAAAATATGTTTGATGACAGTGGCTCATCATCTACGAAATTCTCGTACCGGCGTGTCGCTTTATCCCTAATGAGAGCTGAACTAAGGGGTGCACGCTTTTTATCTGGATCTTCGATCCACAGAGACAAAGCTTTTTCCATTTTTTCAATAGGGCCACTTCTCGTATACCCAGCCACTTTTGTACATTTAGGAGCACTAGATTGTAAACTATGACAAATTTTGTCTTTATTTTGACGGATAGTACGCACAGACGACTCATTAATTTTATATTTTCTTGCAATCGATGCCACAGGCTCTTTCTTCTCCAAAGCATCCTAGATTGCACCTTTTTCGATTAACGTTAAAACCTTCTTGCTTCTTTTAGGCGTTATTGCGTTTTTGTTTTTATTTGTAACTGCACTCAATCGTTAAAGTAGACACTGTACTGTACGACTGTACGTATTCCCACAGATGTATACAAGCACAAGCAGACGAACCGGCCAGACTGCCGGACTAATTAGGTCATGCCCGATTGCACATTGAAACCACGCGGTGACGCGTTGCATCAGAAGGCGCGCGCCGCTGAAAGGCGGGGAGCAACCCCGTATAAGTTTACAGCGTAAAATAAATCACTGGTGTCAAAAGCCCAAACGCGTATAAGCGAAACCGCCTATAAATATGCCGCGTAAAACGAGGGACGCCTGTATTTCCGAATTATCCAATCCAAATTTCAAAATTCCAAGATTATTGTATTGTCTTGACCCCTGTTCATACTTGAACATACATACAGCTCAAACTGATAAAAGCATGTTAAAAAGCTCGATAACTCACGTTACAAAGTGTCAAAATTAGTCGTATTGTGTGACTCACTGATAAAGGTGTTTGGGTTTGATAGATGCAGTATAATTTATTATATTCAAACAACCCTTGATGGAATACAGATTTGTAGCATATGTTATACTTTCTGGTCATTAAATGAAAGTCATCTTTATTTCTGGTATTATGTAAATGATGGTCGACATTTGATGATGTTAAATTAGTTAGACTTGATGGAAATATATTATTTTTTACTTTATAAATGAATATCATTACAAGATATTTGATAAAATTTTTTACATTGAGCCATTTTAATTTGCTAAGCATTTGCCTAATTTGAGTATATTTATCTTTATTTAGTATTATTCTCATGCACTTATTTTGTAAAATTTGCAGTCTTTCAAAAATGGAATTATTTGCTAAATATAGAATAGTCGAATAGTACAAGAAATTTGGAAGAATGATGGTATTATAGATAATTTTGCTGCTATATGAACTCAGATATCCAGAAACTCTCGATAAATATCCCACTTTACTACTAATCTTATTTATAACTTTTTCATAATGAATATCAAAAATTAATCGAGAGTCAACAAAAACCCCCAGGTATTTAAAATTTTCTACGAATTCAACATTGGCAGTACCCACAACATCAACAATACTTTCCACAAAATATTCATTTAGTTTGTTTGCAATCACCAAAGAATTTGTTTCGGTACCGTTTTCGAATTGAACTTGATTTACACAATCATGCGGCTTCGAATTGATCAGTCTTTTTAAAGTCTTCCACATCTTTACACTGTCGCACTTGTTATTATCGATTTGTTTATCGTAGAATTTCCTTTTTTCTTCTCTAATTACATATACACATTTATTCCTAAGAGTTTTATATACCTCCCAATCATCATTTGATTTTGTGAATATACATCTATTGTCTCTCAAATTTGGAGCTGCCTTAATATTCTTGTTATACCAGGGTGTATTTTTTGTCGAGCAAATCACTTTTTATCAGTTGCAAGATCTAAACAAGTTTTTATATTTCCTATTATGTTGTCATATATTTTTTCCATATTCTCACCAAAATTCCAATAGCAGCCAGCAAGTTCTCGTTCAAGTTTTTCGTACTTAATAGTATTTACGATTTTCTTAATTTTTGTATCAGAAAAAAATTTAGAAAAATAATGCTGCAGCATACGTGTTTTCTGTCGATGATGTAAGATATGGTGGTTGCACAGTTTGAACAAATGAATTCCGATTTGACAAATTGTCACTCTAGTTCTTGAGAATTTCCTTTCCTACTAGGAGGATGGTGCGAAGACTTTACAACATGTCAAGTAGTTTTTCGGGAATGTAGATTAAAAACAAAGCACAACCGTGGGCATTTCCGCGATAAACAGGAGCAGAAACAGAAGGATTGGTAACCCGAGCGACGTACGCTTCTGCTTATTGGCTCCATCAGGCCCAAATGGATATGCATCGAAAACACTAAGTTATTTGACGCTTTATGAATTGGGTACCCCTACGAGTCAACACTTACAGAAATAATTAAAAAGTCGAAATGTGTTTGCTATTTAGATAGTTGACAGTCTTTCAAATCTTCAATTGCTCCTCTTTTTTAGACGTTTTATTTTATCTAAGTGTTTTTTTCAACGGAGTTACCGAGTTCTACTTGACATTCTTCTTAAAATATTTGATATATTCACATAATTTCTATATAACCTCATCATCTAAAAAAATAAATAAAATCAAGCCTCGAGCACTGCTCACATGTTTGGGTTGCTACCGCCCACACTCGATGCTGTTTTCGCACCGATGGATGGGCGGTTGACGATCTACCGCTATGTCAACGGGCTTTGCTCCTCATGATGCCGCCGCGCCAGACAGACCCGCAGAACTGACCGATACGATCGCTCCTTTGTTCCTAGGTCATCGAAATTATACAACAATCTGCCTGAGAAGGCTTTTCTTAGTTCTGCCAACCTAAGGCAGTACAACAATTTGAGGTGTTTTAAAGCTCCATATAACAGTCGTGGTGCCCCAGTATTTGGCTTTCTGTCTACGTGACTGCTCCAGTATAAAAATATAAATATCTCACTAAATGAATCTATTTTTCAGTATGATTCCCCTTGGTTCATGTACGATGAAACTAAACTCTACCACTGAAATGATGCCATGTTCCTTCAAACATTTCACTGACATACATCCGTTTGCTCCTTTGGAACAAACTTTGGGCTACCACCAACTGTTCGCCGAGCTTGAAAAGGACCTCTGTGCTATCACAGGATACGACAAGATTAGTTTCCAGCCCAACAGTGGCGCTCAGGGAGAATATGCTGGGCTGAGGGCTATTCATTGCTACCACGAGGCAAGAGGCAAGTTATAATCATCTTCTTCACTCATTATACTTGTTCAATATATGAAACTACATACGTTTTAAAAAAATTGTGATAACGGATTAATATACAAACATTGAAAATCCTCGATATACAGGGTGTCCGCAAAGTTGGGGTTTTCCTTTTCAGAAACAACTACCCTTGAAATAACAAAAGTAATGTGTAGTGAAACGAGGGCGACCAAGTAAAAAAAATAAAGGAAAAAGTACTCATTCTCCAGTTGACGAGAAGGGCTAAGTACGTCTCTGCCCGAAAGCATACCGCTCCAACAGAAAATGAAATCAGCTGATGCGCTACCGAGCAGACGCCGGCGGTGGTTCAGGCCACGAACAGAGGTAACAAATATGACCATCGTGCAGAAACCACATTGATTTTCTTACACTTAATGGCACATCTTCTAACAAGGAAGGCAAAATGTTGCGTAAAAAGTCTAGGTATTGCATCCCGTCCAATCGATTTGGGAGAATAAATGGTCCAATGAGCATACCGTTCACCATGCCAGCCCAAACATTCACCGAAAATGTTTGTTCAAAATGTGCCCGACAGACAGCGTGCGGATTTTCTACTGACCAAACATGAGTGTTGCGAAAGTTATTCACCCCATTACGCGTGAACGTAGATTCGTCTGTCACCAATATACACTTCAAAAAGTCCGGATTATTGTCATCTTGATGCAACAACCACCCACAAAACCGCACTCTTGCTGGAAAATCGTCAGGTTGAAGGGCTTGTACACGTTGGACGTGAAACGGATACAGCCCCTCTTCACGCAGCGTTTGCCACACTTTAGTTTTTGATACTTGCACTTCTCTAGCCACGTCTCTAGTGCTTGTTGTTTTTTGAAAGGCAAACGGGTTCAAGGTTGCATACTGACCTGACACACTGACCCCGACCGACTTGTACCAGTCGGTGATATCGCGGGTCGCGGCTACAGGACGGTATTCAGATATTTTTGATGTTGCAGAGCCCTTTATCTCGGTTCCCTTAAGACATTGGTGTATATGGTACTAAGAAAAATTGCTTATGTTTTCAAGATCTACACGTCGTGTAAAGGAAAACCCCAACATTGCGGACACCCTGTATGTACATTTACCTTTACCGATTGAAAATTTCTTGAAGCGCGTTACAGTACCTCTCAACAAGTGCAATAAAAATATCATTGGGCCCAAAGTTTTTCTACGAGTACTTTCCACGATACAGGGTCTGTAACGTATACCAAAGAATACAGAGTTACCAATAGAAGAATCACTCCATCGAAAAACCTGATTATGCCGCGGTGGCTGAGATGATACCTCGGGTGGCTGGAATGCTACCTGCCATTTGGATGCCATCTCTCATTCATTACCTGCCGTAATAGTCCAGGAAGTATCTTTGCATCTGATCGGAAAACTATTCTGATTGTTTTTTTGCAAAACCTTAGTAAACAATTCTTGACGCAATTTTAGGTCTGGCAACATGCCTATTCATTAATAGGGGCCTTTTTTGAATGGGGTTATATGAAAAAGCAATCAAAATATTTTTCTCAGCAGATGAGAAAATACTTCCTGTACTATAACTACCTAGGTAGTCGACTACCGGCATGTACAGGGCGATCCACCATGACAAGTTGGTGCTGAGTGCCTGGATACAAAATGAAGGAGGGAAATTCAGATCCATTAAAAATTTATCTATGATTCATGAGTACACCACTGTCAAAAACGCGATATCATAGAAATGTGATGTGTAGCTTGACCTTTACTTTCCAAACCAATCTGTAATCTTGATAGTGCCTTTTCGGAGCTTCGTTGAATATGTTACGGAATTGGAGGAAATATTTAGATGGTACTTGACTTAGCTGGCTTGTATAGACAACGTATGAAAACGACTGAAAACTGAAGTCTTTCACTTTGCACACAAGTCCGCATTTAATTTCAATTCAAATATGAAATGTACTAGGGCAAATAAAGCTGATCTTAAATTGAGAACATCAACTCAAAAATGGATTTATCGAAATAAGACAAACTGCCATCTGTTACCAGAAAGTGAAAACAATTCGCAGTGGTCAAATCTGGCACTATGAATAGAGTGGTGTGGCGATAACAAAAAGTACTGTTGGCGCCATCTGTTGGGAGACTCTCCTAGTCGCCAGAGCTTCATGGCTGATCTCTGCTTTTACGCGTACTACGACCGCACAAGCCGCTTGGCGACATCTGTTGAGGACCGTATCAGTGACTCGCCTTCTAGATCGACGCGAAGTGACCTCAAATATTCTAGATGCCGCTTTGTGGCTCGCCAGACCTTTCTCGAATCAGCGATGGGGACTATATATACTAAGTGACATATAAATCCGAACACCCAGTTTAAATGGTTTTATTTTAATAGAATTTTGTATAAGTACTTAATGAAGCATAATAAGTAAATGATAAAAATTTCAAAATGATTGCACTGCTTTAATAATGTGTGGATGCACCCTGATGTGCTACGCATTCTCCAACGCGCCTAGGCATGCTTCGGATCAGGTGGTCAATGCCCTCCTGTGGTATCTCATTCTAGGCAACCACCAACTCCTCTCGAAGTGCTTCTAGAGTCTGAGGAGGACGTTGCAAATTGAGCAATCTCCTACCCATCATATCCCACACGTGCTCAATTGGGGATAAGTCGGGAGATCTTGGTGGCCATGGTAACAATGTGACATCATTATGTTGAAAGAAGTCTATTGTGACTCTTGCAACATGTGGTCGGGCATTATCTTGTTGGAAAGTTGGATCTGCCAGGGTGTCAAGATAGGGTAAAAGATGGGGTTCTAGAACTCCGTGGATATAACGCTGCGCGTTCATGTTACCTCTGATGAAGATTAAAGGTGACCTGGAACCATAAGCTATAGCACCCCAAACCATAACTCCAACAGTGTGATGAACATGTCTTTCAACAAAAAACTGTGGATTCTTCCTTTCACCACGTCGCCTTCTAACCCTGGCACGACCATCGTGCATGCCTAAACAAAATCGAGACTCGTCACTAAAGACAATACTGTTCCATTCCTGATCCCAGAGTGACCGTTGTCTGCACCACTCAAGGCGATTACGTCGGTGTTCTCGAGTTAAAGGGAGGACCCGGTGTGGCCGGTATGAAAACAAGCCAAAACTTCTCATTCGTCGGTAAACACTTCGCATGCCAATAGGTCTTCCGTGTTCTGCAACCCATTCATTTGCAATGGACCTGGTAGTGGAGAAACGGTCCCTTAAGGCCAATAATCTTAGGCGGCAATCTTCACGGCCTGTTGTTGTATGGCGGCGTCCAGTGCCCCTTGCTCTTTGCGTACGGCCTTCTCGAAGCCATGCCTGACAACACCTAACCACAGTGTCTACACTTCTTTGCACTCTAACTGCAATTGCCCGAAAAGAAAGTCCAGCTTCCCGAAGTCCCACTATACGGCCCCTATCAAACTCACTAAGTTGACGAAATCGTACAGGTCTCCGTACTCTAGGCATCGTAACCGTAAAGGATGTCAAGAACCAAAATCCGCCAACGTTGATTCTTTACTGTGGCTTTTTAGAGCGGTAGTGAATTAAAAAAAAGCCGTATAAAAACCGGAATGTCCAACTGATAAGCCTGAACATTTTTTCACTTGTTATTTACAGCAAGATAAATACATTCACCAACTTTTATTAAAATAAAACCATTTAAGCTGGGTGTTCGGATTTATATGTCACTTAGTATAGTTGGAGATGGGAGATGGAAGCAGAGTACAGAGTACAGTAGAGTAGAGCAGAATGGAGTATAGTGCAGTCAATGGTGCGACAAGAATTAGTTAGTCATAAATAGTGGTGCATTTCTTTTTGTGGAATTCAGTGTTTTAATCCACACCCAAAAGAACCCAAAAAAACGCACAGTATAGTTGTTCAGCTTTCGTTCATTGTCCTACCTGAGGCCAAGCCAAATAGCCCGAAACGGGTTTCCATGGTTAGTCGGATATGGCCGGATGGACGAAAGCTATACCTATAACTGGTTTGATGTAAAGATTTCTTTAGGAAAGTTACTTATGGTACAACTCCTGCAGTGACATTTATACCATATCTCTTTTAGTTTATACAAGTCTCATTTCATTTCTTCCACTTTATTTTTTATTCTTTATTTCACTTTTTCACCTAGTTACAGATACACAAATTTAAAAAAATATTTTTCACTTAACGCCTTTACCTCCATCTTCAAACAGTATAGCCCAAGTTTTGACAAAATCGGCGCAGTGGTTACTGAAGTAACATGACAAAGAAGAGAGTACGCCAGATGAATCATCGCCAGTCAGTGACAAAGAGGCTAAACGCTGTTTTTCATTTCCCAATTTTTTACACAAAGGATATTTGTCATCCACTGTCCATGCCATAAAAACAATGATTAATACTAATATTCGATGCCAATACGAACAATTTTTTGACAAGCTATTCGGTACGTACGCCAAAGTACGACAGCACTACCCTGTATCAAGCAATAAAAAGTGCGGGACCTCTTCAAGTCATAAGATCAACAGTGTTGCCAGAGCGAAGTTTAAAATATCCGTCACACGTATCGCAAAATTCCGCTACATGCCGCTACGGTCTAAAAATTTATGGGGGGGAGGCTTAAAAAAAACAACAAAGATATTTTTTACATATTTACTTTTTTTTAAACACTATCTAAAAACCCTACTAAAAATACAAACAGTAACATAATATAATTGCAATTTTTCGTAAAAACATAAAAAGTATACCTCTAAAAAAATAAAACTGTGTTTGGTTTAGAATTAGGAACTAATAAAAAAATAGCAACGATCACCAATATCTTAATCTTAATAGAAAAAAAAAACAAACAATAAGGACAAGGAAGAAGCGGAAACGTGGAAATGCCTACGTTTGCTTATTTTATTCACAGTCAGAATCAGAAATTACTTCTTCTTCAGCTTGTTCTTCCTTATTTACATTATATAAATTCTTTTTATATTTGTTTAAATGATTATCATTAAAACTATAGGATAAACAGCACTGTTTTTTTGATTCCAAGTCTAATTTAATTGTAAGTAGATAAAGTTGATGGTATTATTTTATTTCTTTTTTTTGTTTTGTAATCAAGCATATAAGAAAAAGTTCGCTCAACAGCGTTTCCATGAGGCAATGTTAAAATGATTAGAGCCAGTTTACCTATATTGCGAAATAAATATTCGTCATTAAAATTTTTGAGGTCGTTTACAAACGACCAAAATTCAATGACATTACTTTTTGTTTTTAAAATTTCCTCTTTCTCACTATCACTAAAATAAATACATATTTTCTTTAGTTCCAAAATTGCCTTTTTGGTTTCAATATGAAGGGCAATTTTTTTTAAAACGGCGTCATGGAAGGTATCACTTATAATAAGACGATTGTTCATCACATCAACCGGTGAGAGAAACTTTAGCTCTGAAAAGAAGTTGTCTTTGATAGGACAACTTTTAAGGGACTCTTCTACCGATTTTTGGTAAAATGTGACACATTTTAATTTAAATTGTTCGATTGCCGTGTTATTGCAGTGTTTTATTGCATCCATTGTATGCGGACCAACATTCACTTGTTCAATTGGTAATAAGCAGTGGGGATCATCAGGATTTAGATTATATAATTTCTCATTTTTAAAATATTCTGGTCGCATAAAGTTTGTACATAGATGACGTACAAATCGCTAACTCTCTATTGATATGATATTGAGCATAACTTTCTCTGATTGAAAGAGAGCATTAAATTGGTTAAAAATGGGCAACACGAATTTAAAAAACATTAAATACGCCTTAACAAATGGATTCTGTAACTCATTAAGTGTTACATTTCCTACATAATTTTTGTCTTCAATGGAAGCTAATCTAAATAGGCTAAGCAAGATGTCCCACTGATCCAAAACTCTATCAACACATTTGGATAAAGCAAGCCACCTTGTTTTACTAGGGCTTAAAATTTTTAATTTTGTATTTTTGAAATATTCCTGTAATTCTTCAAGAACACACTGCCTTTTTGGGCTTATTGAGAAGTAAGAATATAAGTTTTGTAAAAGAGCTTCAACGTTGCTTGGAATCTTTTCAGCTGCCGCCACCGCCACTAAATGAGCAGAGTGGCAAATGCAGCCATTGACAATTATATTAGGATTATCTTTTAAAAGATAAGTTTTGAAAGATTCGTTATTGCCCATCATAACACTAGCGTTGTCGGAACAGTATCCAACAATATTGGTAATTTCTACTTGATTGGATATAACGCATTTTTTAAAAAGAGAATATAAACCTTTGGCGGTACCTTCATCTGCGTTTATTTTAATTATATCTAATAAATGGGTTTTAATTGATTTTTTATGAATATACCTTACAAGAATGCATAGTAGTCTTGTATTGCTCAGGTCTGTACTCTCATCCAATAAAATAGAAAATGGTTTATTTTCCAATTCTGAAATTATTTCGTCTTTAATAACAGGAGCCAGCACATTTTTAATTCTACTTATGCATTTGGATCTTTTTAATTTAAGTGAGCTAGAGAGATCTGGGTCTTTAAAACATAATTGACTAACTAATGTTATATGATCAACAGTTCTAAAACTTATATAATGACTTACAACTAAAAGACTATATCTTAAGCAAGCAAACATTTGCCGTTTTTCCAACTCACGTGCTTCCCGAGACTGAAAAGTGCTATCTAACGTTCTTACATTCGAAATTGCTTGTACATTAGTGGCATGCCTTTTTGATTTCGAATGATTCACTAAATCTGATTTTTTAGCACCCATTATTTGATTACAAGCTTTACATTTTGCTTTCAACTTGTCATTTTCAATAGGTCCCAACCAGCCTTTAAATAACGGATCTTCTAGCCATGATGAAGTAAACTTTTGTTTTCGTGTCTTTTTCTTAACAGCTTGCTCTGGCTCTTGGTTATCCTGAGATTCGCAAGTCGAATTATCAGGCTCAGACCTGATTCCACTAGATTCCGCTCTTCTATTTTGTCTGTATTCAGGTTCGGGATGCTCCGAGTCCGACACAGATGCAGTCGAAGTGGATGGTACGGCCACGTTTGGTTTCACCGTTTGTTTTTTAGAAGGATTTTTATCAAAAAAATCGTTAATGGTCTGCTTTCCATTATTCTTAATTTCCAGAATAAAAAGCGTTAAAAACAAATTTCGCGACTAAGATTTATTTCTGGATCAAACTAGAATATGTTAGATATTTAAGCAGTTTTGTTACTTACCAGTAGATTTAATATTAAAATCTGCAGCAAATGATATATCAATAAAATGATCAACACAAAAATAAGAACACTAATATAAACGAAACTAAACAGTATATACCCAGAGCTGAAAAATACAATACAAAGCGAGAAACCTAATATTATGTCTGCCTGCTGAAACCTGTTAGAAACGATTAGTATTGAAAGCAGTACGTACGCCATCTGTTATTGGAAAAAAAGGCAAGTGGAATAATTCTCTTCTCTGTTCCTAGATGGCTCAAGCGGCACCAAATGCACCAATTTTATTATTAATGTGATAATAAATCAGACTCTAGCCACTGCCTATTTAGGATTTAGAACGTTATTAACGTTAAAACAGTGAAATAAATATGATAGTTTTGTATGTAATAAATTCCGCTACATTTTGGGCTAATTTGCTCTACCGCCGCTACGCCGCTCTTCTCAAAATAATCCGCTACAAATAGCGGAATTCCGCTACGTATGGCAACACTGAAGATCAAAGGTCTTTCGCGAGTGCAGCTTCTATTGGTAACTGTGTATTCTTTGCTTATACTCTGATTTTATTATTGGCATATGTCCTAGAAGTTTTGGCACAAACTATTTGTCGGTTTTTTTTAATGAAGAAATTTATTTAAACACTAACTAGTTATCATAAATTACAACTCAATACTTAACTAAACTATGCTATCGAATTATGTGGAGTACTATTAACCTTTTCACTAAATCCATTTATTGACGGAACGCCTTGTAAAATTGCAATTACGTGAAGCAAGAGATCATGGATAAATAGATTCAATATTACCATTTAATCATTCTTTTAGTAAATAGACATACCGAACAAGGCGACTATTGGAGGTCTTTTAGATAACAGTGAATCATTCTTCAGGTGAACCGCACCGCGACGTATGCCTGATCCCAGTAAGCGCTCACGGAACGAACCCAGCAAGTGCCCAAATGGCCGGCATGACAATCGAGCCGGTCAAAGTGCGACAAGATGGAACCATAGACGTAGTCGATCTCAAGACGAAAGCGGAGAAGTTTAAGGACAGGCTGTCCTGTGTCATGATCACCTACCCCTCCACCAATGGAGTATTTGAAGAGACTGTGGCTGACTTGTGCGATATTGTCCATCAGAATGGTGGACAGGTTTACCTTGATGGCGCCAATATGAACGCCCAGGTTGGTCAATGTTTATGAATCATATTACTGATGAGTTCGAACAAAAAATTTTATATTCGATTTTGGATGCATAATTTTCAAGACATTAGGAATTTCAGTATAAAGCCGATACGTGTTGTATGAGAAAGATCTACAAAATTGAGAGGTTTGATGAGGAGGAGGTGATATGCAGCCCCGAGACCGCAAATTTAAATTACGAACATCGCCATCGGTGCGAAAAATTATCCTACTGAATAAATGTTGTGGTTGGTTAAAAAACATGTCACTCTTGTCCAAACAAAACCCATATACGCTATAACAAAAATAAAGATGGCTGAGTACTAGTACTTCACTAAGTAATATTTTAAGTTGAACACATCGAGAACTTTCAGAGAAGCATATTACTTCTAGATACATTTATTAAAATGAGGCTCGTGTCTCAGATTTGAGTCCACACCTTAGGCTACGGTTAGGAGTGAAAAAATAAAAAATAACAAATCTCAAGTTGCCCAAATTTTGGTTTGAAATGTTTACTTCCGGTTTAGCATCTCAAGTATTTTTTTAATTCCAAGTTTGTTTTTTTCTTCAGTACAGAAAATCTCCTATACAGGGTGTTTCAGTTTATTGTTGTATAACTTTAAGTTTCGATAGAACTTTTAAAATTAATGCATAAAGTCTATATAAACATGGGTCGAAAAATGCGTGGCTTCCGAAATACAGGGTTTAAATTTACTTTCTAAAATAGTTTTTTTTTAAATATTTCGAAAAATATTTGATGTATAACAGTGAAAATTGGTATACAAGGGTTTTTTGGTACGACAAAACGAACCATAGTTTTACTGTAGCCGCTAGAGGGCGCTCTCTACTGTACCTGTAGTGTAGTAAAATGACAGAAAATTTTTTCTTAGTGCAATTTTTTGCTTTTTGAATAAAAAAACTGATTCTTCGCACTTTTCAACATAAAAAAGCTCTCTAGTGAATTTTCGTTATAGTTAGCCGTTTTTGAGATATTTCGATTTTTAAGGTTCGATGCATTTTTAATTATTTATGATAAAATAACGTTAAAAAGTCAGTATCTCGATAATTTTTAGAAGTAGGCTGTGCTTGCAAATATTTTTGAAATTGAAAGCAGAATAAGGTTAAACGTCAATTAGTTGACAGTTAGTTTTGTTGTCTGTTGAAACCTGAAACGTTTTTTTGCAATTGTGAATGCACGAAATTTAGTTTCTTTTACCTGTTTTTTTTTGTAAGTTTTATAAAAATGCCATTTTTATTCTCCAATCAAGAGTTAGCGGATTGTTAGATTTTGTGTATGGCTTTGTAAATGGAAACGCAGCAGAAGCAGACAGAGAATACGCACGAAGATTTCCAAACAGACGACATCCAACTCGCTCAGTATTTGTAAGAGTGCATCGCCAAATAATTGAAAATGGTTTTGGAAATCCCCAAAGCGATCAAAACATAAATGTTCGTCAGAGCAGATTTACCCGTATGATTCTGCGTGAGTTTGATAGAGATCCGACCACAAGTGATAGGAGAGTTTCTGGTGCCTTGGGAATTTCAGCAAGCCATGTTCACCGTGTTCTTAGAAATGACCATAGACGTCCTTACCATTTGCAACCTGTGCAAGGACTACAGCCAGGGGACGGAGAACGAAGAATCACATTTTGTTAGTGGATTCTTGATAGAACTGATAATAATAGGGAGTTTTTAACTAACGTTTTATGGACCGATGAGTCATGCTTCACGAGACGTGGAGTGGTAAATTTTCATAATCAACATATTTGGTCGCATGAAAATCCGCATGCAGTTCGGGAAAGAAATTTTCAGCATGAATTTAGTGTGAACGTGTGGATTGGTATCTACCGTAATCGACTATTTGGACCCTACCTTTTGCCTTCAAGGTTAAATGCTGCGACCTTCTTGGAATTTTTAAAGGCTGAACATGCAAATATGTGGGATGATGTTATGTTAGATTTAAGAAGATTGGCCTGGTTCCAGCTTGAAGGTTGTCCAGCTCATTATTCGAGAATAGTTAGAAACTGGCTGGACGAAAATTATCCAGAAGATGAATGGGCCGTGGAGGACCAGTCGCCTGACCTAAATCCATTAGATTTCTTTGTGTGGGGATTTCTAAAAGAAGAAGAGTACCAGACTCCCGTAACCACAAGAGATATGCTAATAGACAGAATCAGGAATGCATGTGATGAAATAATGCCTTATTTGAATAATGCTATACCACGTTCGATCATTCGTAGATGTGAGTTGTGTATTGAACAATTGGGTTTACATGTCGAGCAACTACTTTAGATTTTGTATGTTTGTCCTAACTATCCAATAGCATTTTAGTTGTAAATAATTAATTTAATTTGTTAAAAATAATATTGGAAAATTAAACAAATTAATATTCTGTTTTTTTGTGTTTATTTGGAGTTAGGAATTATTGCTGTGTTTAAAAACACAATCTAAACGATAATATTAATTACTTGTAATGCCCAAATCGAAAACGTACAAAAAAAAATTATTTTCCCATAAATAATTAAAAATGCATCGAACCTTAAAAATCGAAATATCTCAAAAACGGCTAACTATAACGAAAACTCACACGAGAGCTTTTTTATGTTGAAAAGTGCGAAGAATCAGTTTTTTTATTCAAAAATCAAAAAATTGCACTAACAAAAAATTTTCGGCCATTTCAAAACACTACAGGTACAGTAGAGAGCGCCCTCTAGCGGCTACAGTGAAACTATGCCCCTGGTTCGTTTTGTTGTACCAAAAAACCCTTGTATACCAATTTTCACTGTTATACATCAAATATTGTTCGAAATATTTAAAAAAAACTATTTTAGAAAGTAAATTTAAACACCCTGTATTTCGGAAGCCACGCATTTTTCGACCCATGTTTATATAGACTTAATGCATTAATTTTAAAAGTTCTATCGAATCTTAAAGTTATGCAACAATAAACTGAAACACCCTGTAAAAAAAGGCCATGTTCGATATCCCACTACGAGAATTTTCAATTCAAAAAAATTCTCCGAAGCCCGTAGCTTAGCAAATGAACGTGCCACGCAAAAAAAATCGTGTTTTCTCATTCATACCTACCAGATGTTCAAACAGGCCCAATATGGACTCACTTTTTTTCGCCGTCTGCTTCACGTGAAATGCCTCAGGTGCTGAAACTTGTTTGGGCCAAATGCTGCGGTACCGCCATTTCTGAATATTTTTTCATGATAATTTTACTTTTTGTTACTTAAATAAATGCTATATATATATTACATCAATATTATATATTTCCTTACCAAGTCTTCTGCCAGGAAAAAATACCCGAAAATACAGATTTTAGGTCGTTACAGTAGTATTACCCCTTAATAAATGTGGAAGACTGGAGAAGAAGTATAGATGAGAAAGAATATATTGTAACAATATTTTTAGACTTCAAAAGTGCATTTGAGACTATGGATAGGGAAAAATTGTTAATGAAATTGCGTCACTATGGCTTTAAAGGATTAGTACTACACATTTTATTTAGTAAATAGAAGTCAAGTGTTCAAAATATATCAGTAGGGGTGCCACAGGGGAGCAAATTAGGGCCGTTACTATTTATTATTTATATAAATGATATCTCTGACATTTTAGAACACTGCAAAATTCAAATATTTTCGGACGATACACTTATACAGGGTGACTTTGAAGTTGAGTCATTAATTTTAACAGTGAGTAGATCTGATCAAAAGAAATGTTTTTTTCCTTTACCATTTTTCTGGTAAAATTAAAGTAACAAAGTTATAGCCCTTTGGAAGTTTGAGTACCGCCCTGTCTCAATAATGATATTATGTTCTCGTGTTTGGCAACAACAGATATAATCCGCCTTATCCGTTCATCGCATCGGAAACAAAAAAGCGAAAGAATTTGGAACGATCTTTTTACAATTATTTTCTTCAGTTGTATACAGTCAGTATCAGTCGGTAGTCGGTAACGCGTAAGTGAATAATCGTGTCTGTTGCGAGGCTCAAATCAAAAATGGCACATGTTTACGAAAATGCTGAACTTGTGGACATGGTTCTTATTTACGGGGAGTCTTTACAAAATGCTGCCGCGGCATCACGGATCTATGCGGATCGGTTTCCCAATCGAGTGCAACCAACCCCTCGTGCCTTTGTTAATGTAGTGCAAAGAGCTCGTGAATCAGGTGACTTAAGACCTCACAGAGGAGATCATGCCGGTGCTCCAAGACCACACGATCAAATAGAACTAGAAGAACAAATTTTAGAATTAGTAAGTGATGATCCAACAGTAAGCACCCGACAAATTTCAACTCAATTGGCGATTAGTCAGTATAAAACTTGGAAAACTCTACGTGAAAATCAGTTCTATCCGTTTCACATACAAAAAGTGCAGGCCTTACAACCGGAAGATCATGAACAAAGGGTTGACTTTTGCAATTGGCTTTTAAATAAACATCAAAATGATGACAATTTTTTAAATCAAATTTTAGTGAGTGATGAAGCCCTCTTTACTAGAAACGGAATTATTAATTCACGTAATTCTCACGTTTGGGCTATTGAAAATCCCCATGAAATAAGGGAAACCAATTTTCAACAGCGATTTGAACCAATCAACCTGTGGGCGGGAATTGTTAATGGAATTTTAGTGGGGCCTTTTGAATTACCAAATCGCTTAACTGGTGAAAATTATTTTGATTTCTTGCAACACAATTTGCCTGGTTTACTGGAAGATGTGCCTTTAAATATTAGACAAAACATGTGGTTTTTACAAGATGGGGCACCACCCCATTATGCAAGAAATGTGCGTGAATTTTTAAATAGACAATTTAATAATCGTTGGATTGGCCGTGGCGGTTTTGTACCTTGGCCGCCAAGGTCTCCGGACTTAAATCCTTTAGACTTTTGTTTGTGGGGTTGGCTAAAAACTCTAGTGTATAAAACACCGGTTAATACACGCGAAGAATTACGTGCTCGAATTGAGGAAATGAGTACAGTGATCAGAAATCAACCAGTGATTTTATTGCGTGCTTGTAAAGAGACATGGCTAAGACGCGCCCAGCTGTGCGTCGAGCAAAACGGAAATCATTTCGAACAGTTTTTGTGACATGCTTTTGGGCGCACAGGTCCGCACTGAAATACTTGTCGGGAGGATACTTTATAAAACAAGGTAACATTTTTTTTTTAATTTTTTTTTATTTTTACACACATATTTTGGTTTATCTTCCTTCTACAATCATTATCTGAAAATTAATGACTCAACTTCAAAGTCACCCTGTATATATATATATACATCGAAAACGAAACAGACGCATTTACTGGCAGCTCAGTTTTTTTTGGAAAACCACTCAGACCCGTCGATTTTGTTTTCGAGAGCGACACCTGCAGCCCCCTGGGCGAGGGTGACACCAACCCTAAAATCTTAAACGGAAAGGGGGGTCGAGTGATACCTTATTTTAAGGGTCTTTCAATTCCCTTTATAATGATGTAAAATGTTCAGTAGTTTTGAAGATTTATCGATTTAAAGCTTAAAGTAGACTTTGATAGGTACATCAGATTAGTTTGTACTACTTTCAGAAGAAATTTGACTAAAAGAATTTACTTAATAAGTAAATGCTTTTCTTCAGCACGCCCATGGTTTGTTTATCATTTTGTTGTTGAAAATAGCTATTGGAGCGTTTTTTTTGTGGCAAAAAAGTTATTTCTTGAAGAAAGATAAGGAAATATCTCGTACTTATTTTAAATAGGAATTTAGTACATAGTCTGCAATTGATTTGACCAAACTTTGTTGCTAAAATAACTTGTAACGCTTTATTACATAAATTAACCATGGTATATTCCATAGCAGAAAGAGTTGAAATTATCGAAATATTTTTCGAAATAATCAGTGCGCTAATAGAACAGCAGAAATATTATGAATACATTATTTCAAAAATATCGAAAAAGATAAATTACTTCTATAAAGTTTCCCATAATATTAATGTATTCCAAAAAAATTGTGTATAACACTTTAATTCTTCCCCATTTTTTATTTTGCTCAAACATCTTGTTTACAGCAAATGAAAACATAACAAAGTTACAAATTCTACAAAATAAAGCTATGAGAATCATTTTAAATAAAAACAAATATACTATGATTAAGTCTATGTTAGAAGAACTGCAGTGGTTGGATGTGAAAAATTCCATATATTATTCAGATCTCGTTTTCATATTTAAATTAGAAAATCATTTATTACCACCATATTTAGAGAACTTTACAAAATTAAATAGTCATTATCATAACTATGAAACTCTAGGCAGGATAGATTTTCATCTGCAAAATTGTAATAGTAGCATAACTAGTAAATTTATATTTCAAAAGAGAGTATTTGAATTTAATAAACTGAATAATGATATTAAACAAACTTCGAATTTAAAAATGTTTAAGGTGAAATTAAAAAATCACTTTATGAGCAATCAAAACATATAGTGACTTAATTTTAATTTTGATAGACAAGAATGTAAAATTACAGAAAATGGATTGAAGAAAAATATGTAACCGAATCATTATACAAAATTGACATTGTAGCATTAATGCTAAATAAATCTTCAACAACAACAACAATAAAACTTACGATCTCGGGAAAAAATTGAATATTTTCAATTCTGTTGTAGGTTGGATTGTGCCGTCCAGGAGATTATGGTGGTGATGTTTCCCATCTGAATCTCCACAAAACCTTCTGCATTCCACATGGTGGTGGAGGCCCGGGTATGGGCCCCATTGGAGTAAAGTCTCACCTTATTCCTTACTTACCAGGTAAATACTTTTATCTTGGGTTTACTTATCGTAAAGCAATGCTTTTGTTCACGTTACTCAGCAATTTAGACCATTGAAACTTGACGAAAAAATCGCGCGAGAGTAGTCCAAAAAAACTCCTCTGTCGATTCCATAATTAATAGCACTGTACCAAAAGAATAAGGCTGTTTTACCCCGAAACCCTAGAACGGTTCATCCCCCCGAAGACGAACACCCTCCTGAATATGAATCCAGTCAACTTCGAAGATTCGGAGCGAACTTTCAAAACATATTTTATCAATTTCATGAACCGAGTGCGTATAACAAACTTTGTATTGTTTTGAGCACATACAAGGATGATTAAACACGTTCTTTTTGGGTTTTGAACTAAGTGACATATAAATCCGAACACCCAGTTTAAATGGTTTTATTTTAATAAAATTTTGTATAAGTACTTAATGAAGCATAATATGTAAATGATAAAAATTTCAAAATGATTGCACTGCTTTAAAGCCCTTTGACCTTTAATAATGTGTGGATGCACCCTGATGTGCTACGCATTCTCCAACGCGCCTAGGCATGCTTCTGACCACGTGGTCAATGTCCTCCTGTGGTATCTCATTCCAGGCAACCACCAACTCCTCTCGAAGTGCTTCTAGAGTCTGAGAAGGACGTTGCAAATTGAGCAATTTCCTACCCATCATATCCCACACGTGCTCAATTAGGGATAAGTCGGGAGATCTTGGTGGCCATGGTAACAATGTGACATCATTATGTTGAAAGAAGTCTATTGTGACTTTTGCAACATGTGGTCGGGCATTATCTTGTTGGAATGTTGGATCTGCCAGGGTGTCAAGATAGGGTAAAAGATGGGGTTCTAGAACTTCGTGGATATAACGCTGCGCGATCATGTTACCTCTGATGAAGATTAAAGGTGACCTGGAACCATAAGCTATAGCACCCCAAACCATAACTCCAACAGTGTGATGGACATGTCTTTCATTAAAAAACTGTGGATTCCTCCTTTCACCACGTCGCCTTCTAACCCTGGCACGACCATCGTGCATGCCTAAACAAAATCGAGACTCGTCACTAAAGACAATACTGTTCCATTCCTGATCCCAGAGTGGCCGTTGTCTGCACCACTCAAGGCAATTACGTCGGTGTTCTCGAGTTAAAGGGAGGACCCAGTGTGGCCGGTATGAAAACAAGCCAAAACTTCTCATTCGTCGGTAAACACTTTGCATGCCAATAGGTCTTCTGTGTTCTGCAAACCATTCATTTGCAATGGACCTGGTAGTGGAGAAACGGTCCCTTAAGGCCAATAATCTTAGGCGGCGATCTTCACGGTCTGTTGTTCTACGGCGGCGTCCAGTGCCCCTTGCTCTTTGCGTACGGCCTTCTCGAAGCCATGCCTGACAACCACAGTGTCTACACTTCTTTGCACTCTAACTGCAATTGCCCGAAAAGAAAGTCCAGCTTCCCGAAGCCCCACTATACGGCCCCTATCAAACTCACTAAGTTGACGAAATCGTACAGGTCTCCGTACTCTAGGCATCGTAACCGATCGTAAAGGATGTTAAGAACCAAAATCCGCCAACGTTGATGCTTTACTGCGGCTGAAATATTCATTTTTAGAGCGTTAGTGAATTAAAAAAAAGCAGTATAAAAACCGGAATGTTCAACTGATAAGGCTGAAAATTTTTTCACTTGTTATTTACAGTAAGATAAATACATTCACCAACTTTTATTAAAATAAAACCATTTAAACTGGGTGTTCGGATTTATATGTCACTTAGTATATTTCATTTGTGTATTTCCGATGACTGATTTATTTTAGGTCACCCTGTGATTAGTCCCTTAGAGGAGGGCAGCAGTCCGTTCGGAGCAGTTAGTGCGGCTCCTTGGGGTTCTAGCGCCATTTTGCCCATTTCGTGGGCCTACATCAAGATGATGGGACCAAGAGGATTGAAGAAAGCCACGCAAGTTGCAATACTGAATGCTAACTATATGTCAAAGGTGAGAAAATAGTATTTCTGGGATCTCACAAATGATACTAATATCTGCGTCTCATAGCCAGATTAGGTTAAGTTACAATTCAAGAAAAATATTTTAACCGCAATTATCTCAAAAATACTTAATCTAATCTGGTTCTGATTACCTAAAATGACTTCCACGCGCAAATTCCTTAGTTATTGATCAAACTTTTGGTTATTCATTAAAGGGCGTATTTTCTGCACCTAACCTTCTTTAAACTTTACGTCCCTTATTTTCGAAAAAGAGATTTTAAATCTAAGAATTCTTCGCCGTTTTCATACATTCTTTTCAGAAAGTTTCTCACTGAACAGATTTTTATATACAGGGTGTAAACGTTATGATAGTCATTATTTAAATGGGTGATAGAGGGGGTTAAAACTTTCATAAAACATGGGGGTCATTACGGCATTTTTTTAGAGAAAAGCGACTTTAAAGTAAATTAAAATCTGACAAGGCCGCAATGCCATTATTTCATTATTTGATAATATACTCGTAAAATGCAAACAATTAAAAAAATAGACTTACCACTAACTGTCTCAACGCTTCACCTGGTGTGTGAAAGTTTATTGAACGTATTAAAAAAATCCACTTATAAATAGGGAACACAATTTTTATACTTACATTGTTTTTCTTTTTAAAACTCACACCGCACTTTTTTTGTATTTAAAGAAGGTCGCCCTCTACATTCCACGCAAGCTTCATTACGACGATCCCAGTTTCTTCTTACTTTAGGTCCTCGAAGTTGTCCATTTATTATTTCAGCCGCATTAAAATTTTTTTCGCGAAGTTGTGCTTCAGTTGATATTGGACCAGCCCCATAAACCATCCCTTTAAGTTCTCCCCAATACCAGAAATCCATCGGATTGGGGTCAGGAGATCTTGCTGGCCATTTTCGAGGATCAGGAGCATTTCGACCGATTCAGCGATCTGGATAATGTTTCATTCAAATACTGAATCACGCTTCTAAAAATGTGTGGTGGTGCCCTGTCATGAAGTAACCGCAAATTTGGTCTCCGTTTTAATGGCATGTTGTCTAAGGTCTGTTCCAAAAGTTCTGGTAGGTTATTGGCTTGAAAGCTAAGGTTTCCTTCTCCTGACAACTTTGGGGGTAACTCGAAAGGGACAGTTACCTGATCGTCAAGAATACCCGCCCAAATATTTATTTTAAAACGTTGTTGGAAATGACCTTCGCGAATGGTATGAGGGTTTTCTTGGGCCTAAGTGTGAGTATTATGGAAATTTAATATCCCGTCTCGCGTAAAACTACATTCGTCCGTCGCTATACTATAACTATCTAAAACTGTAATGACTCATCGATGTTCACGTGAACATCCCTTAACTACCAGTAGTCGGCTGTTCATAGGCGGGGTATGAATGTTTAACATGGGTGAACTAGATTTGTCACATGCTTAATAAAGAGTGGTTTGAAACATATTGTAAGTAAAAAATTTGAGAATTACCTTTATTCATCGTCGCTTCCACTTACATCTGACAGTAATAAACTGTCGCTATCGCTTTCCTCGTTGAAATTGACTATAACTGGCTCTATGATGGTGTCGATGTGGTGGTCAAGCTGCCACATTTTTGTTTCTTCCTTCACAACATGACGGATAGTATTCTGCCAAGCTTCGGGCGTTACTAGCTGTATGGAAGTCTCAAGTAAAACCTTAACGTCTGGTAATTTGAAGTTTGTGTTATGGCGCGCAATATAACCCTTCACTTGAGCCCAGATGAGCTCTATTGGGTTCAGTTCATAGTGATAGGGCGATAACCGCAGCACAGTGACACCACATTGACGGGTCATCTCATCAGTCACGTAACTAATGTTCGCAGGTTTGTGCTGTTTAATTTTTTCATACAATTCCGGTTTCACACATGAATCGTCAAACGGGATTCCTTTTTCCATTGCTGCATGTCACTTTTTCGAGATCCCATAGTCGGTACACGTTCGGCTCGACGACTATGGTACGAAGCATTATCCATGACGATCACAGAGTTGGGCTCAACTCGCTGAAGCACCCCTTGAAACCAGCTCTCGAAGCAGCTGGCATTCATTTCGTCATGGTAATCACTTCCTTTCTTAGAGACGAAAATCAAGTCACACTCTTCTAAAAAGCCACTATCGCTACCAATATGAGTTACGATCAATCTTTGACCTTTCCCTGACGGTCCACGAAGACCTGTTGACAAACCTTCAATGCTTGCTTGTCGGCTACTCACTACGTTTTTGTCTATCCAGTTTTTTTTAACTGTGTGACCTGCATTTACCCATGTCTCGTCCAAATAATAGATTTTTCTGCTTTGTCGCCTATATTCAATCATTTCGCGTAGGTATTTTCGATGCCAGGTGACTATTTCAGGTCTCTCTATCAATACTGACTTCCGATTACGCGTTTCGTAACGAAAAATAATTTCGTGCAGGGATTTCCTCATTACCTTGACGCTCATTTGGGGTATAATTTCATTTTCCTTGATCGCTGCATGTACAGCCTTGAGGGTTGGTATCTCATTCCTAAAGAAGAATGAATGTACGGTCCGCCTTAACGCGATTTTGCTATCGTCATCCAACTTAACGGCCTTTCGTCCCTTCAAATCAAACTTTGGATCAGTAGTAGATCCAGTTTTCTTCTTTTCATGCACCACCCTGCGAATGATCCACTCTGGAACGCCTGTCATACTTCCACAATGCGCGAGTGCATCTCCCTGTGACATAGTTCTGTTCAGATAATTGAACACGTTGAGCACGATTTCTTTCGCGTCCCTCTTCAGGGCTTTACGAAGCCGTCTACTTGTTCCCTGGCTTTCAGTACTTCAACTCGTGCCATTTGTACTCTCCATGGTTAACTATAACCAAAACAGTAACCACAGAAACCACAACAATAACAATCACACAACAATTCTTATAAAAACACACAATATGCGATCGCTCAACGAAACACGTTCCATTGCGTTGCCGACGCCTATGAGTCTGCCGGTCGAGGCGCGTCTTTAATTTCATTGGTTCTACCGGCGGAGAACAATCAGCCATTATTTCCATCTCTGTCTGTGCTGTTGGCCACCGCAAAGCCACAGAAACGACATATGTCGTACGCTATACGGCTGTACTGGAAGGAAGCCGGGATCGAGCTCTGATCACGTGTTGCTCACGCGTATGAGTCATTACAGTTTTAAATAGTTGTAGTATAGAATGTTTTTAAAAAAATCCGGATTTTCAATGTTTTTGTGCAAAAACCACTGACAGAATGTTAGTCTGCGAGGACAGTCTTTTTTTTTCTGATACAAAAATTAAGAAAATCGTAAATACTATTAAGTACGAAAAACTTGAACGAGAACTTGCTGGCTGCTATTGGAATTTTGGTGAGAATATGGAAAAAATATATGACAACATAATAGGAAATATAAAAACTTGTTTAGATCTTGCAACTGATAAAAAACTGATTTGCTCGACAAAAAATACACCCTGGTATAACAAGAATATTAAGGTAGCTCAAAATTTGAGAGACAAACAATACAATAAATGTATATTCACAAAATCAAATGATGATTGGGAGGTATATAAAACTCTTAGGAATAAATGTGTATATGTAATTAGAGAAGAAAAAAGAAAATTCTACGATAAACAAATCGATAATAACAAGTGCGACAGTGTAAAGATGTGGAAGACTTTAAAAAGACTGATCAATTCGAAGCCGCATGATTGTGTAAATCAAGTTCAATTCGAAAACGGTACCGAAACAAATTCTTTGGTGATTGCAAACAAACTAAATGAATATTTTGTGGAAAGTATTGTTGATATTGTAGGTACTGCCAATGCTGCACCTGACTATATGAAAATCAGTTTCCAGGGGGAAATGTTGCATACACTTTCAAAATTTCACAGCGTATCATTGAATTATCTAAGAAAAAAAGTAAACAGTTTAAAATCAAATAACAACTGTGCCGAAATGATTACTAAAAACGTGCTGAAAAACTGTTTCGAAATTTTGGGATATCCTGTATTAAATTGGATCAATTGTTCACTGAGAAGCAGTTCTTTTCCTGAAAATTTGAAATGCTCTACAATAACACCAGTTCCCAAGATAAAAAATTCTAAAAGATGCAGCGATATGAGACCAGTAAATGTGTTACCAGACATTGAAAAATTATTAGAGTCCATAGTGCATGACCAATTAATGCAGTTTATAGAAGAAAACAAAATTTTAGTGGAGGCGCAAGCAGGCTTTCGAAAAAAATATTCCACAGAAACAGCTTTCCAGTTGGTAACTGAGAATTGGAGAAGAGCCATAGACTCAGAAGAAGTTGTCATAGCAGTATTTTTGGATTTGAAGAGGGCATTTGAAACGATTGATAAAGATATTTTGTTAGGTAAATTGAAGGCATATGGTATAACAGGAAGTGTCTTAGATTGGTTTGGAAATTATTTGTCTAAAAGGATGCAACTTACAAAAGTTAATGACACTATTTCATCAAAAATTGAAAATACGTTGGGTGTTCCACAGGGCAGTATCCTGGGACCACTTCTTTTTATTTTATACATAAATGATTTACCTGCCATAGTCAAAAAATGCAAAATTCAAATTTTCGCCGATGACACTATGATTTATATAAGTACTAAAAATATTCAGTCTGGTATCTCTTATATAAATGAAGACTTGAAGCTTGTCTCAAAATGGTTAGCATCTAACAGACTAAAATTAAATGCAAGTAAAACGAAAGCCTTGTTAATCGGAAAAAAACAATGTACAAATGTTCAACTGAATATTGATGGTGAAGATATTGAATTCGTAGAAAATTTTAAATACCTGGGAGTTTTTGTTGACTCTCGATTAATTTTTGATATTCATTATGAAAAAGTTATAAATAAGATTAGTAGTAAAGTGGGATATTTATCGAGAGTTTCTGGATGTCTGAGTTCATATAGCAGAAAAATTATCTATAATACCATCATTCTTCCAAATTTCTTGTACTGTTCGACTATTCTATATTTAGCAAATAATTCCATTTTTGAAAGACTGCAAATTTTACAAAATAAGTGCATGAGAATAATACTAAATAAAGATAAATATACTCCAATTAGGCAAATGCTTAGCAAATTAAAATGGCTCAATGTAAAAAATTTTATCAAATATCTTGTAATGATATTCATTTATAAAGTAAAAAATAATATATTTCCATCAAGTCTAACTAATTTAACATCATCAAATGTCGACCATCATTTACATAATACCAGAAATAAAGATGACTTCCATTTAATGACCAAAAAGTATAACATATGCTACAAATCTGTATTCCATCAAGGGTTGATTGAATATAATAAATTATACTCGGAGATAAAAGACCAGAAAACTTTGACAAAATTTAAAGTAAAATTGAGAAATCACTTGTTAAATCTACAATTATAGGTTGCCCAGCATTTACATCATACACCATATGGCTTGAATTTACTAGTTCTAAGTTGTTTACAATTGTTCTGTTTATGTAGCCAAATGTGCTAAATAAATCTTTCTACTACTACTACTAGTCTTCTGGTAACAAGGCCTGCACTCGTTGTACATGGTAGGGATAAAGCAAATTTTCTATTGACTATGGTGTGCAATAGTCCTACGCGGCGGCCTAATTCCCGAGTACTGATATCTGCATTGATTACCACGATATTTAAAATTTGTTCCTCCTGCTCTACAGTAACCTGCCTTTCACGGGTGCGAATATTAGTAGGCTGAACACTTCCTGTATCACGAAGTCTTTGGTACACTTGCACAATTGTCCTTCTGTCTGGGTGTACCCGTTGGCGAAATCTGTCGCGATAAATTTGAGCTGCAAGATTTGAATTCTGACGAGCTTCACCGTAAACTAACAACATGTCGGCGAACTTGATTCGAGAACATTGTAAATAAACACGGCGACGTACGCGAACAATAACTAACCACTGTTACCGTTTGCGATCGATTCCCGGTTCGATAAGAGTGATGAATAACCGACGTGCTGTTTTCATGTGTGTTTTGAATATATAATTTATTGAAACTTACTTACTGACTACAAATTTTGGCCTAACTTAGAAAAAATTAATCCCATTTATTTGTTAATTACCCACTTTAAAAACGTTTTAGATTAGGTTATAAAAATTAGTAAGATTGTGGTGATTGTGGTCGATATAAAGCACTTACAGTTGTAAACTATAAGGAGATTTAGACAAAAATCTATTGACTTTTGGACCATGGTTCATATGAACTTTTTGACTTGTTTTGACCTCCCCCTATTACCCATTTCCATAATGACTACCATAACGTTTACACCCTGTATATGTAGGGGCTAGGATTTTACATTTGACTGCTCACACACAAAGTCCATTCGTTTTGACGAGTCTTTAATAAAATAGTACTTCTCAGAAGCTCTGCTGTCCGTCATGCAAAGGAAACAACAGTACTTAGTAACTCCACCTTGCAAACCTAGCTATTACTTTTTCTCACAACCCGATTTTTGAACTGCCTGGTTACTAGAACTGGCAAAACCTCCTCTTGTCGATTGTTCCACAATTTCGATTCCCTAGCGACAAGGAGCGGTCGTATCGGCCAGTTCTGGATGAACGCAGTTCGACATGGTTAGGATGGGAGGCCGAAGTCAGGCGGGTCCGTCTGGCAGGCAGATCGAGCGGAACCCTAAATATGTGAGCAATACTCGAGGCTGGGTCTTATCTGAGCCTTGTACAGAGTGAGGAGGTCATGTGGAGAAGAGTACTTCTTAGTCCCAAACAAATGGCCTAGATTTTTCCCAGCAGCTCCCGCTATTGACGAGATGTGTTTGTACCAGATCAAGTCCCCGGTGATCTGGACTCCGACCAGAGAAAATGAATGGCTTTTGGTAGAACTCGGCCATCCATTGAAACCGGATGAGTGCTACACAATCGCTAATCAAGCCGTGATGTTCGAGGTACTCCAGCAGATCGCGATTTATGCACCTTTTCATCGCCTTTCTTACAACAGAAAGCAGAGTTATAGGCCTGTGGTTGTAATGGACCCTTAGATCAGTTTTTTGGAATGAGTTGGACATGAGCCGATTTCCAGTTTTCTGGGAAGGTGCCGGATTCGTAAGATGTCTGGGAGAGACGCGAAAGAACTGGAGCAAGCTTCGCTGCACACCTCTTCAATACAATGGTCTCATGCCTGAATGTTACTTTCCGCATACTGTAGGAACTAGGAACCCCTTTGAATCGACGGTAGTTGAGCTTTGGTGGAGTTGGCAGCAAAGATCTTGGCAAGCACTTCCGTCTTAGACCAAGTTTACTCTCACAAAGAAATACACACAGTTATCACAAGGCCGAGTGATAATATACGCACCAATTTTTCTAAATTTAAAGTAGGAAATAAATCGCCAAATATACTTGGTCCTAAAATCTTTAACATCCTTCCAAAGGAATAGCAAATCAAAATCACTTTAAGTATTGTTTGAAAGGCTTTTTAATACATAAATGTTTGTATAATGTCTGTGAGTTTATCAGTGTGTAAGTGTTGTTTATTATTTTGTTTTAATATATACTAAGTGACATATAAATCCGAACACCCAGTTTAAATGGTTTTATTTTAATAAAATTTTGTATAAGTACTTAATGAAGCATAATAAGTAAATGATAAAAATTTCAAAATGATTGCTCTGCTTTAAAGCTCTTTGACCTTTAATAATGTGTGGATGCACCCTGATGTACTACGCATTCTCCAATGCGCCTAGGCATGCTTCTGATCAGGTGTTCAATGTCCTCCTGTGGTATCTCATTCCAGGCAACCACCAACTCCTCTCGAAGTGCTTCTCGAGTCTGAGGAGGACGTTGCAAATTGAGCAATCTCCTACCCATCATATCCCACACGTGCTCAATTGGGGATAAGTCGGGAGATCTTGGTGGCCATGGTAACAATGTGACATCATTATGTTGAAAGAAGTCTATTGTGACTCTTGCAACATGTGGTCGGGCATTATCTTGTTGGAAAGTTGGATCTGCCAGGATGGCAAGATAGGGTAAAAGATGGGGTTCTAGAACTTCGTGGATATAATGCTGCGCATTCATGTTACCTCTGATGAAGATTAAAGGTGACCTGGAACCATAAGCTATAGCACCCCAAACCATAACTCCAACAGTGTGATGAACATGTCTTTCAACAAAAAACTGTGGATTCCTCCTTTCACCACGTCGCCTTCTAACCCTGGCACGACCATCGTGCATGCCTAAACAAAATCGAGACTCGTCACTAAAGACAATACTGTTCCATTCCTGATCCCAGAGTGACCGTTGTCTGCACCACTCAAGGCGATTACGTCGGTGTTCTCGAGTTAAAGGGAGGACCCAGTGTGGCCGGTATGAAAACAAGCCAAAACTTCTCATTCGTCGGTAAACACTTCGCATGCCAATAGGTCTTCCGTGTTCTGCAAACCATTCATTTGCAATGGACCTGGTAGTGGAGAAACGGTCCCTTAAGGCCAATAATCTTAGGCGGCGATCTTCACGGTCTGTTGTTCTACGGCGGCGTCCAGTGCCCCTTGCTCTTTGCGTACGGCCTTCTCGAAGCCATGCCTGACAACACCTAACCACAGTGTCTACACTTCCTTGCACTCTAACTGCAATTGCCCGAAAAGAAAGTCCAGCTTCCCGAAGTCCCACTATACGGCCTCTATCAAACTCACTAAGTTGACGAAATCGTACAGGTCTCCGTACTCTAGGCATCGTAACCGATCGTAAAGGATGTCAAGAACCAAAATCCGCCAACGTTGATTCTTTACTGCGGCTGAAATATTCATTTTTAGAGCGTTAGTGAATTAAAAAAAAGCAGTATAAAAACCGGAATGTCCAACTGATAAGGTTGAAACTTGTTATTTACAGTAAGATAAATACATTCACCAACTTTTATTCAAATAAAACCATTTAAACTGGGTGTTCGGATTTATATGTCACTTAGTATATATTATTTATTTTCATAATAAAGGTATTGGGGCCCCACTACAAAACCCTCTTCAAGAGCTCAGTTTCAAACCTTGTGGCACACGAATTCATCATCGATACGAGGGACTTCAAGAAGACTGCTAATATCGAACCTGCCGATATCGCTAAAAGACTGATGGACTTTGGGTTCCATGCTCCGACTATGAGCTGGCCAGTTCCTGGTACCCTTATGATCGAGCCCACGGAATCTGAGGATAAACAGGAATTGGACAGGTAAGTTTTGATTTTGAATGCCTTCAGTTTCCTTTTACTTTCTATGTCAAGACATGATTTCGGTCGGTCTGTCTGTCTGTCAGTCCATGCGCTAATTTTATAACCGCCTATAACTTGAGAAGTGCCTCTCGGGTTTTGATGAAATTTTCACACAAGGTTACTACTATTCCAAGAATGAAAAAGCTTTGTAGTTTTTGGAAATCGTTTTAGTAGTGGCAGAGCTAGCGAGAAAAACACGAAAAAAAAATCACTTAAACTTCGTGCAATGCAATGGATAACAATCTCCAACTAGTCTGCGGTGGTGTCGTCAATGACACACCGCTATAGGAAGAATATTTATACAGGGTGTTTCAGTTTATTGTTGCATAACTTTAAGATTCGATAGAACTTTTAAAATTAGTGCATAAAGTCTATATAAGCATGGGTCGAAAAATGCGTGGCTTCCGAAATACAGGGTGTTTAAATTTACTTTCTAAAATAGTGCTTTTTTAATATTTCGAACAATATTTGATGTATAACAGTGGAAATTGGTATACAACGGTTTTTTGGTACGACAAAACGAACCATGGGCATAGTTTTACTGTAGCCGCTAGAGGGCGCTCTCTACTGTACCTGTAGTGTATTAAAATGACCGAAAATTTATTCTTAGTGCATTTTTTTGCTTTTTGAATAAAAAACTGATTCTTCGCACTTTTCAACATAAAAAAGCTCTCTTGTGAATTTTCGTTATAGTTAGCCGTTTTTGAGATATTCCGATTTTTAAGGTTCGATGCATTTTTAATTATCTATGATAAAATAACGTTAAAAAGTCAGTATCTCGATAATTTTTAGAAGTAGGCTGTGGCTGCAAATATTTTTGAAATTGAAAGCAGTATAAGGTTAAACGTCAACTAGTTGACAGTTTGTTTTGTTGTCTGTTGAAACCTGAAATGTCTTTTTGCAATTGTGAATGCACGAAATTTAGTTTCTTTTACCTGTTTTTTTTTGTAAGTATTATAAAAATGCCATTTTTATTCTCCAATCAAGAGTTAGCGGATATTCATTTTGTGTATGGCTTTGTAAAGGGAAACGCAGCCGAAGCCAGAAGCAGCCAGAGAATACGCACGAAGATTTCCAAACAGACGACATCCAACTCGCTCAGTATTTGTAAGAGTGCATCGGCAAATAATTGAAAATGGTTTCGGAAATCTCCAAAGGGATCAAAACATAAATGTTCGTCAGCGCAGATTTACCCGTATGATTCTGATAGAGACCCGGCCACAAGTGTTAGGAGAGTTTCTGGTGCCTTGGGAATTTCAGCAAGCCATGTTCACCATGTTCTTAGAAATGACCATAGATGTCCTTACCATTTGCAACCTGTGCAAGGACTACAGCCAGGGGACGGAGAACGAAGAATCACATTTTGTCAGTGGATTCTTGATAGAACTGATAATAATAGGGAGTTTTTAAGTAACGTTTTATGGACCGATGAGTCATGCTTCACTAGACGTGGAGTGGTAAATTTTCATAATCAACATATTTGGTCGCATGAAAATCCGCATGCAGTTCGGGAAAGAAATTTTCAGCATGAATTTAGTGTGAACGTGTGGATTGGTATCTACCGTAATCGACTATTTGGACCCTACCTTTTGCCTGCAAGGTTAAATGCTGCGATCTTCTTGGAATTTTTAAAGGCTGAACATGCAAATATGTGGGATGATGTTATGTTAGATTTAAGAAGATTGGCCTGGTTCCAGCTTGATGGTTGTCCAGCTCATTATTCGAGAATAGTTAGAAACTGGCTGGACGAAAATTATCCAGAAATATGGATCGGCCGTGGAGGACCAGTCGCCTGGCCTCCACGATCCCCTGACCTAAATCCATTAGATTTCTTTGTGTGGGGATTTCTAAAAGAAAAAGTGTACCAGACTCACGTAACCACAAGAGATATGCAGAATCAGGAATGCATGTGATGAAATAACGCCTTATTTGAATAATGCTATACCACGTTCGATCATTCGTAGATGTGAATTGTGTATTGAACAATTGGGTTTACATTTCGAGCAACTACTTTAGATTTTGTATGTTTGTCCTAACTATCCAATAGCATTTTAGTTGTAAATAATTAATTTAATTTGTTAAAAATAATATTTTAAAATTAAACAAATTAATATTCTGTTTTTTGTGTTTATTTGGAGTTAGGAATTATTGCTGTGTTTAAAAACACAATCTAATCGATCAACTTAATTACTTGTAATGCCCAAATCGAAAATGTAAAAAAAAATATTATTTTCCCATAAATAATTAAAAATGCATCGAACCTTAAAAATCGAAATATCTCAAAAACGGCTAACTATAACGAAAACTCACAGGAGAGCTTTTTTATGTTGAAAAGTGCGATGAATCAGTTTTTTTATTCAAAAAGCAAAAAATTGCACTAAGAAGAAATGTTCGGTTATTTTAATACACTACAGGTACAGTAGAGAGCGCCCTCTAGCGGCTACAGTAAACTATGCCCATGGTTCGTTTTGTCGTACCAAAAAACCGTTGTATACCAATTTTCACTGTTATACATCAAATATTGTTCGAAATATTTAAAAAAAACTATTTTAGAAAGTAAATTTAAACACCCTGTATTTCGGAAGCCACACATTTTTCGATCCAAGTTTATATAGACTTTATGCATTAATTTTAAAAGTTATATCGAATCTTAAAGTTATGCAACAATAAACTGAAACACCCTGTATATTTCAGTAATATTTTAATATTAGGAGTACGTACTACTTTAACTTGTGTTACTTTGTCTGTGATGATTCTCTATGCGCAAGTAGACTGACTCAGTACTTATGACGCATTTACAAGTATACCTACATGCAACAGGCACAGACTGACAAATCGACATAAATGAAAAAACACGGACTTATGTGATGTAGATATTTTTAAGCAACAGAAAACTTATGAATCGAGGTTCGAATATTATCGCGAGTTTAATACTTCCGTCGTTTAGGCAGTCGTAGATTTTGAAAATTGATTCAAAGGCGGCGCAGGTAAAATTGCTAGGTTATAGTGTGATTCCTGCCCATTTTTAGGAATTGTATGGAGGCAATGAAAATTGTAGGTTGGAAGCTGTATTGTATGCGGTAAATATTTGTAAATTGTTGCATATTTGGGGTCAGTGTAAGACCTCCTATTATCAAGAAGCTGCTGACCTCTGTGAAACTATGCACCTATTTGACATAATAAGTCACACATATTTTCCCTACATCTGCTATAGAAACATAAATATGATAGATTTTCTTCATATAGTTTGATATGCAGAAGTCTGAAATTCATCGTACCTAAAGGAACCGCGATTCAATTTTGTCTTTTGAAACGATTTGACTTATACTTGACGCAATTTTTTGATAAAGACAAACTCTATAAAGCGTTAAAATTGCGCATAATCTGGATGAGGACTCAAGCCTTTTCGATGCTCTACACAAATATTATCGTGCGTCCGGAAAGCATGTTTTAGAAAAATGCAACCAGATTTTTCCAAAATATTAACGAGAAAATATGCAAAAATACACTTGTCCGAGCTACTAGAATAATTTTCGTGCTATTTGCATGAAAAATGACACCAGGTATTTTAGTCTGCATTTTCTACATTCATATATGTACGTCTGTTTTAAAATTTTTTGGACATACGAATAGATAATCCTCGATACACAAATGTACTTTGAGTATCACTATATAGTACTATATTCATGTACAGGGTGTTCGTTAATGATATGCAAATATTTAAGGGTGTGAATCTACATGAAAATTTAATGAATAAACTATGGACCAAAAATGTTTCCTTACAAAAACTCGTGGTGTTGAAGTTTTAGGAAAAAAATGGAAATTCATTAATATTTTCAGAACCGCTTCAGATATTTCACTGATATTAAGTATGTAGTGAAAGTTAATAAAATTGCATATTTTACAATGCAAAAATAATTTTTAGCTTTAACAGTGGCGTACGTACGGGTATTGACTTCGATATTTCTTAAGAAAAAAATGGTACGCCAATGGTTTTTTGACAAATAAAAATTATTTTTGAACTCCCCGTTCAATTTAAAACAAATGATCTCCATTGAATTATTGTTTTCCTTCGATGCGCCATTTTTGGGTAAACAAATAAAAACCGTTCTATTGTCTAACTTGCAAAATTATTATTAATTTAATTGGAAAAATTAAACATATTAGGGGTAATGAGCAACAACAACTGATAACATAAACATAACATTAAAACCCACGACATAATTGCAAAAATTGTTGAAAATGGCCCCCTTCACTTAGAATGCATGCTTCCGCCCTCCTTCTCATGGATTTGCGCACTCGTTGAAATATCCCGGAGTGTTTTTTATTCTATTACAAGCTTCAAGATAGTCCCACAAAAAGAAATCTAAACTGTCGAGGTCTGGGGACCTTGGTGGCCATTCTTGGGGCCCGCCGCGGCCAATCCAACGATTTGGATAAACAGTTTGTAAATAATTACGAACCGCTACACGGAAATGCGCTGGTGCACCATCATGCATGTACCACATATTGTTTCTTATTACTAACGGAACATCATCAAGCAGCAAAGACAACTATTGCTGAAGAAAATTGAGGTAAGTCTGTCCGTCAATTCGTCCCGGCAAGAAGAATGGGTGGTTGCCAATAATTCCTGCCCATACGTTAATCGAAAATTTATGGAAAATCAATGGGAAGTAATGCCTGTACTCTTGAAATATGGTAAGGATATAACAAAAAATCCACTAAAATTCTAGAAACAATTTGATGGCAAATATTTAAGTGTCTGGCGATCTTCCTCTTCAGGATGTTCTTCGACTTCGTGCAGCACTGCTTCCTCAATTTCAGGTGATCTCACACTTAGAGGTCTACCTTCAGATGTTCCTTTTCGGACAGAACCAGTTTCAACAAGACGACGATGAATATTAGAAAAGGTTCGACTATCTGGCAAGCACGATCGGGATATCTCTGGTGATAAATCCATCTGGCTTGCTCACCATTACCATCGGCAAGGCCATATATACGTAATGCATTTGCGCCATTTCTGCCTTTGAATAATTCACCATTATTAACAAGATTGTAAAAGCTAAATAATGAAAAAGCAAACAGATTTGAATAATAGAGACTTTTCAGATGTCAAAAGCCAGTTTTTATTTTTTTAATCAAAAATGGCGCATCGAAGGAAAACAATTCAAGAGAAATCATTTTTTTTAAATTGTACGGGGAATTTTAAAAAATATTTTATTTGGCAAAAAACCATTGGCGTACCATTTTTTTCTTAAACAATATCTAAGTCAATACCCGTACATACGCCACTGTTAAAGCTAAAAATTATATTTGCATTGAAAAATTTGCAACTTTATTAACTTTCACTAACTAAATATCAATGAAATACCTGAAGCGGTTCTGAAAATATTAATTAATTTCCATTTTTTCCTAATACTTCAACGCCCCGAGTTTTTGTAAGGAAACATTTTTGGACCATAGTTTATAAAGCAAACTAACATTAATTTTCCATGTAGATTCACACCCTTGAATATTCGAATATCATTAAGGAGCACCCTATATACAGCTCACAAAACTAGCCTTGCCATATTTCAAACCTTTTGATACCTCCAAGCAACTTTTTGATATGCGCAAGCATTATCACATCTTTCAAAGATACAGAAAGAAGTTCTGGAACAATCTCAAGCTATTTCGTGTAAGGTATCATAACTCCACCGTCACTGCAAAAATCTCAAAAATATCTTGGTTCAAGCGTTTCTCAGACTACGTAGCTAGGAAGACGTGAATAGACAAACCGACAGGCAGACATCCAAATGGCAATGAGAGACATGCTGATATTATGAGACATCAAAAAAAGTTTTAACTGAAATTCTAAAATTTCAATAATAACAATATAAAAGTTATTTTTTTATATCTTTTTGTAAAATATCCATTAGCAGCTGCATTTCAACCTTTTTTTTTAATTTTCAAATAGATTTTGAATCAAAGTATAAATTTATTCAATTGATATTCCACTAAATGAACCGTTATGTACAGAGATTGCAGAAATACTCGTATCTTTATGCTGAAACACAATTTATAATAATAAATCGACGGATTAATTCGGAGCAACATTTTCGTTGAGTGTTTGAGTGATAAAAATTATCCGAAAAATTTCGGAAACAATGTTGAAGCCAGCTCAAACTCGGGATTGGTATCCTGTAATGAATTTTATCGCATATTGCTAAAATAACATATAGTAATTTTTTAGTTTTTACTCAATAATGTAGCAATGCTCTATGGAGTACGAAAAAGTTACGAAATACGTTTTAATCCTCCATGTTTGTTTGCAAAAGTAATATTTTATGCAAATAGCATTAATGCACTATTTACTGAGAAATGTTATTTTTTGATGATGCTTTAGTTGTACGTCATGCTTCATCTAATCACCTTTACTGAACAAGTAAAAAATCTTAGTAGCATTCTGACTGCCAAGATAGTCTCTTTTATCGTTGCAAATGTGAAAATAGACTAGCAAAAATATATTTACTCTGGACAATACTTGTCTAGAGATATATCTATCTGTATCCTGTTTGTTCACATGAATAAGTTTTGCTTTATACTCTTTTCTACTTATATGTAGGTTTTGTGAAGCTCTGATATGCATTCGTCAAGAGATCCGTGACATTGAAGAAGGCAAGTTTGACAAAAGGCTGAACCCGTTGAAGATGGCGCCCCATACGCAAGAGCAAGTAGTCAGTGAAAACTGGGAGCGACCTTACACCAGAGAACAAGCCGCATTCCCTGCTGAATTTGTAAAGCCTGACACCAAAATTTGGCCGACAGCTTCAAGGATTGACGATGTTTATGGAGACAAACATCTTGTCTGTACATGCCCACCGATTCTGGATGAATACAATTACTGAAGGTTCACACACTGAAAGCTCAATCATAAAATAATGCAAGGGTCTATGTAATAACATTTCGTTTGTCGAAGATACCTTGTATGAGATACGCGTACAGGTTGTCATGTTCGTAACTCGTGGACTTGAAGATTGTTTAATATTTCATTGATTTTGTTTCTTTCTGCCATTTGTTTTGACATCTTCATATCTATATAACGGCGAGAAAGTTTAGTTTCAAACTGATAACCGTCATCTTGCCAGTTGTTATTTATGGAAACTGTTATTTGAATCACATTGATTCAGAAATAAAACCTATATTATGTATTTACTGTGTTATTTTTTCCTCCATAATCTCGAAAACCTTTTACTTCCAGGGCGGCAAATAAAGTTTTTTGATGTTCCAAACTCAGATGTATTTATACGTATTTGATACAGCGTATGTTTTTCACTATACACATGACTTCGTTGTGGACATGCATGTTCCGACCATACAAACAAGCCTATCTCTTATTAGCAGAAACGGACAAATCGGTAGAGCTGTAGTTAAGTGAATTTTTCAAGTCAACACATAATTTTGTTCTCGGTTGAACGCATGTGAACATCTTCTCGAAGTCCTACTTGAGGACGCTATTGTTTTATTTAGTGTTGAAGTCCATTTTTATTTGTGTGGATTCGTCAACAAACAAAACATGCGCTTCTGGGCTGACACAAATCCTCGAGAATTGCATCAAAGGTGTGATGTGCAATTTCTTTAGCTGGAATTATTGGTCGTTCTTTGAGGAACAGCACGGGTATCACGTATATTCAAAAGTGACTTTATGCCGATTTTTTTTGACATTATGCTGTTTTTTTTTGACATTATGTAGGTTTTTCCACAAGATATTAACTCAGCAGTAAGGCCCGTATTGTCAGTCGTCCCTACAATTGTAGGGCGCGTTTATGGCCTCCTTGATTGTCATAGTTTTCTACTTCTCCGTGTCAGAACTCTATTTTGAGGTTATGTCACAAACATCTATTTGCATCAAATTGTGCTTGCTTTTGAGTTATATCATGTTTTATCAGCCTGAAATTTCCTACAATTTAAAAAGAAAACATATCTTAACAATAGGACAGCGCTGACGCTGACACGGGACGAGTGTAATCTAGAAATTTTTTAAGGAGAGAAAAGACTATGACAATCAAGGAGGCCATAAACGCGCCCTACAATTGTAGGGATGACTGACGATACGGGCCTTAGTTGTACGTGTTGCCAAAACGTCATGAGGCTTGTTATCAATCTTTGGCTCTGATGTGATGTAAAATCTCTTTCTAAGATGGCATTACTGGAGGTCTAAGCCGTAAGTGGTATGTGTTGATAATAATTACATTGGGTTCTTGTCTCAAATACACTTAATTGAGATTCAGAGCTAGAAATTAGTTGCGCATCCACTTTTTCTTATTTATTCTGTAAATTACATATACAAATTTGCGTAATTTAAACACACACGGCTGAAATTACTTACTGATTTTATACACATGCAGACCAATACACGTAATAATACAGATGCGATCTTGCCTTTCAGCCAACTTTCTTCTCCGAGATGAAAATTACAGACTACTCGGCTTCAGAGAACTTATGCAACCAACAATGCGTGTAGTTGAGTCATTCCTCCATAGATGGATGCTCACAACGATCCTAGTGAGCAAACGTGGAATGACTGTTTGCACCCTAAAAACTACCTAGTCTGCAAGATGACATTTTATGGTTTTTTTGACGTTTTATAGGTTTTTTACATAATACGTAAACGTCTCGTAGGATTTTTTCCAGAGCTGGACTTAGGAGATGTTAGGTTCCAACAAGGAACGGTACACACTTCAAGAGCATCAATAACTGTTTCGAGGGAACACTTCCCAGATCGCCAAATCTCAGTTAGAGGCGATTTGGAGTGGCCGGCCCGTTCTACCGGCTCGCCCCCGCCCCTTGTAATTTTTTTCAATTGGTTTGTTTCGAAATCCTGTGTTGATGTGAACCGCTGAAGCACCCTACAAGATATGAAGATCAACATCCAGGCATAAATTGTCAACATAACGCCTGCTATGCTGGTTATGACAACCGCAAGAAATCGGCTTACTCAGTGTATGGAGAATTGAGAAGTCCCCCGCCTATTTGATTTGGTCTTCAAAACTGTCTAATACACAGCTTCAGGCTTGCGCCCACATTATAAGAAACAGATAAAAATGTCTGCATTCTGACAATAGGTTCTATTATTTATCACATTCATTTTAATTCTTATTTTTCATTGTGTTTCTTATTCTGTTCAATGTGACTACACTTGTTAGGGAAATCTAACCCACTTTTCTTAACTATTGACTATTTCCGATACCAGTTGTAAGTTTTATGGAAAATAAATCGTTCAACGATGTGGTAAACTAAATGCGCGGCGACTGCATAAAATAATTACAGTGGACCTCCGGTAATCCGACGACCATTATGCGGGCAGTGTCGGACTATCGAATTTGTCGGATTATAGAGCACTGCCTAAGCCCCCGGTAGTCCGGAATTGTTTACAAAAGAGTACCTTGTATTCCGACAAATTACATATCCAATGGTAAGATTATATATGTTATGTATATGATGTATGTACTTTGAAGTACAAATCATACATAGTTGATGTATGTCGAATTTAGTAAATTAAATAACAGTAGAGAGCTTACGTTTTATTATAAAATTAAGCATAAATGCACATACATGTACATGTACCAAAATAATCAAGAATTATTAATCAAAATCATTAATGAATTTATCAAATTATGAAGCTTGGAAATATTCATCAATTTTTTTTGTTTAAGGTTGTTATAACGCGAGATCAGAGCTTTGTCCCTCAGTCTTCTCAAAAGTAAAAGTTCGTTGTAGGATGTACCATTCTCTTCAGCCCATTGTAAACCTAGTTCAAAGGCGTTAATTGGGTCTTGTGCTGTGACTTGTGGAGCAGTTGCAATCACGTCGTCGTTATTTTCCTGATTGTTTGTTGTTTAATTAGAAACCTCTTTTATAATCTCTTCGTCAGACATTTCATGAAAAATATTTTCCTCTTTATCCATTCCACGGCACCAGATTTCCAAATCTTCCGGACTTATCTGTGTTTCAGTAGCGACTTGTTCTATAACTTCCGAAGTAACACTGATTTGTGGAACGTTGCTAGGAGTGGTGACTATGTTATATCTGGCCATAACTTTTTCCAAGACGATTTAATAGTTAATGATGGTAACGAATTCCACGACTGACAAAGAGCAAAAACCCAGTCTTTCATATTAAATTCTTTTAAAGTTTTTTCTATTGGTTAGTCTTTTGATACGGCTCTCAGAAGTAGGTTTTTCTTATAGTCTAGCTTGACACACTGAATGATATTCTGGTGCATTGGTTGAATCAGTGCAGTGCAATTTGGCGGAAGAAACATCGCAGTGATGCATTTATTCTCAGTTGTTAGTTCTTCTTCAGACGGATGACCGGGAGCGTTATCAAGAAGCAACAACGCTTTTTGAGGGAAATTATGATCTTTTAACCATTTTCTAACTTCAGGTATGAATCATTCATCAAACCACTTTTTGAAAAGGTCTTTTGTCATCCATGCACTTTTTTAGAGAGAGAATTTTATTTGTAGCACATCTTATCTTAATTTTCTAAAGTTACTAGTTCTAGGACCGTACCGTCAGTAGTTTCTGTAATCATAGGGTGCCTCTATGACTTCCTTGATTTTTACAGTATTTTCTCTCCTTCGGAAAGGTTGGGGTATTTCTAGATGTCTACTGTTCCGTCATCAGCGCTCTCTTATCGTGCGGTGGTCTTCGTTTTGAATCTTAAGAAGTTTCAGGCTGATAAAAAAGAAGATAAAAATCAAGTTTTATCAGCTTGAAGTATCTTGGAATTCAAAAAGAAAATTTAACTTCAAAATAGAGTGAAAAAGTAGAAATCTGGAACAACCACTCCTGCCTTTCTGAAGGACAGGAAGAGCTATGAAAATCAAGGAGGTCATAGAGGCTTACTGCAATTGTAGGAACGACTGACGATACGGCCCTTATTAAAAATGTTTATCGTACTTATAAAACAACACACGAATTTTTAGTATATTCTGAATTCGTATTAAACATTCAGTCTTATGATATGATCAATCGTGGATGACCAGATCGTTAAACGTTGGCCATTTAACGATATCTTCAAATTTGATACAGAATGCGACCATTTCATGAAATGATCGAGCAACGACACATATACATACATGTTTAGTTCCATTATTTTGTTTATCGTGCTGCCCTTCTACCAGTAATTGATATGTCTATCGGCGGTGTAATTAATAATAAATACCAAAAAATTATATGGCGATTGAAGGGTCATTTCCACTACTACATCAAAATCTCATTTTGAAGTCACTTTCAAATCTTTTCTGTAGCTGTTTAATACATTTTCTCGAGAGGATGCACTAAATTAAATAATACACAATTTTCTTATAACGTTATATTTTGGAATAACAATTTTAGAGAAATATATATCATTATATTAAGTTATTCCCTAAAAAATATTTTCCATCGAACGGACCTGGCACAGCGCGAAAATAGTGTCAATAATGTCTTTATTTGTTCAAACTTAACTGACTTATGCAAACGTTAGACTCTTGTCAATCAGCCCATTTCATTTTCCTACAAGAACTTGCTATTTCCAAAAAATAGTCACCGACATGTCATTTTGTTAGTTGAATGTTTACCATTGATCGCTATGGAGTCGTATTCGATTAAAGACCGCATTAAAGTTATTCAAGAGCACTACAAAAATGGTGCAAAAATAAAAAACACGTTTCGCGCGCTTCGTGAACATTTCGGTCGCAACAACCGCCCAAACGAAAAAACCATCGGTCGTCTGGTGCGTAAATTCGAGGCAACAGGTTCTGTGGCAAATCTGCCAGGCTCTGGCCGGCCAAGGAGCGTTCGCACACCGGAAAATATTGCTGTTGTGAAGGAGAGTGTGAGAGACGATCCGAAACAATCAACAACGCGTCGATCCCAAGAATTGGGCATTTCGAGAACCAGTTTGCTCCGCATTCTCCACAAGGATTTCAATGTACACGCCTACAAAATCCAATTGACGCAAAAGCTGCATCGGGCCGACCATTTTTCGCGCCGAACGTTCTCAGATTGGCTCCTTGAACACCAATTTTTCATCAAAAATCATGTTCAGCGACGAAGCGCATTTCACTTTGAATGCGACAGTAAACAAGCAAAACTGCCGCATCTGGGCGAACGAAAATCGTGAGTATCAAGAGCAGCCGATGCATCCTCAAAAAGTGACTGTG